CAGACGGCATGAGCGGTTCTGAGGGGCCATAATAGTGTAAATTAGCTTTGATCTCAGGTGTCTGAACAACCAAGGTGATAGCAGCTTAAATAAGACAGATGTTTGCCAAAACCAGTTTGGCTCAGTGGATAGAGCGTTGGCCTGCGGACTGAAAGGTCCCAGGTTCGATTCCGGTCTAAGGGCAGAAACGTTGGTAGTGGGCACATCCCCAGTAGGGGTGTGCAAGAGGCAGCTGATCGATGTTTCTCTCTCATTGATGTTTCTAACTCTCTATCCCTCTCTCTCTCTGTAAAAAAATCAATAAAATATATTTAAAAAAAAAAAAAAAAGACAGATGTTTGTTTCCCTCTGTTCAAAGCAAAGCTTTGGGTAGTTAGTGCAGGGCTGGCCTGGTGCCCCATGTCAGGGATCCACGCTCCTTCTATCTTCTTGTTTTCCTAGACCCATTTTTCCTGGATCTTCTCAAAGTAAGGGCTGCAAACACTCAGGGGAAAGGGTGACAACTTTATCTACCAGAAACATCAGGACAAGAGTAGCTACACAGAACGCTGTTCCAACATCTCGGCCTGCTTCAGCACCTCCCCCCAGGTCTTGGCAGACCCTCCTGCGACCTACTCCAGGCATGGAGTCACAGAAGGAGGCCACTCCCCTGACTCTCAACGGGAGGTAAGAGGGGGCACACGTTCGTGCCCCTCCACCGCTCCTCCTCTCTGGATGGGGCCTGCTCTGCCCGCAAGAAGCCTGTGGAGACCAGACTCCCGATTCCTTGGTCAAGCAAGTGACCAACTTGAACACACTCAGCCAAGGAGACTTGACCTCCTACACGCAGAGGTGTTTTAAAAAGCCAAGGGCAGGGCGCAGCCTCCTCCGGAAGCACTGGAATTAGACTTGGGGTCCCGGGCTCCAGGGAGAGCCCTCCCAGGGGGCTTAGCGCTGCGCAGGCCACCCCCTGCTCTGGGCTCACACGGTGCAGGCCAAGCCACAGGGAGAACTGATGTTCCGGCTCAGCCCCGCGTGGAGGCCGGAGGAGAGAGAGAGGCGGAGGCGCCGAGAGCCAGGGCCATTGCTGGGGTCCCGCCTGCGGCTCCACCTGCGGCTTCCCTGTGATGGGCGCCCACAAAGCCCTTTGGGCTGAGCTGAGTGGAGATGGGTGTCTGTCCCAGCTGCGGGGGAGTCCGGCCTGACTCTGTAGGCGTTGAGGCGGGAGGGGAGGAAAGGGCAGGGGCCCCACGAAAGGGAAGGCGGAGGCAGCTGCGTGCATTTCCGCCTTTCTCCTCCCCTGGGTAGGAGCTGGGGCGCGGAGGTGGGTGTCGGGGGTGGGATGGGAGGAGGGGCGTCATGGGTGGGATGGGAGGGGGCTGTCGGGGTGGAATAGGAGGGGCGGCGTCGGGGGGTGGGATGGGAGGGGGACGTCGGGGTTGGGATGGGAGGGGGTTGTCTGGGGTGGGATGGAGGGGGTGGTGCCTGGGGTCCGGCGATGGGAGGAGAACAGAGATGCCCAGGCCCCCGGGTGGGGACACGTGGTTTCTGGGAACCTGTCCTTTGACCGCGGGGCTGGCACCTCCAAAAGCCGGTCCCTGGAAGTGGCCGCGGGGGCCGGGCCGAAGCCCAGTTTCCGCCAGGCTGGGCCAGGTCCGGTGGGGACGGCTGCTGCCTTCAGGCCGCACCCAAGACCCCGCTGATCCCTCCTCGCGGGACGGAGGACCTGCTGCGCTGCCGGTGTCCGCTCCTCCCGGGGGGGGCACAGGCCGGAGCAGCTGGCGCCCGGGCCCAGCCGCTCTCCTGGGGGCTGGCCGTGCGCCCAGGCTCCTGGCGCTCCCCCTGCACCCCCAGACCCTCCGCCCAGCGGGTCCCACGTGGAGCGCCGGCCCAACCGCCCAGGTTGCCGCCCGCACCTCCTGGCTCTCTGACTGGGCAGGTGTGACAGGGGCAGGTGTGACGGGGGCAGGTGTGACGGGGGCAGGTGTGACAGGGGCAGGTGTGACGGGGGCAGGTGTGACGGGGCAGGTGTGACGGGGCAGGTGTGACGGGGGCAGGTGTGACGGGGGTGTGATGGGGCAGGTGTGACAGGGGGCAGGTGTGACGGGGCAGGTGTGACAGGGGGCAGGTGTGACGGGGCAGGTGTGACGGGGCAGGTGTGATGGGGGCAGGTGTGATGGGGGCAGGTGTGACGGGGCAGGTGTGATGGGGCAGGTGTGATGGGGCAGGTGTGACGGGGGGGGGTGTGATGGGGCAGGTATGACGGGCAGGTGTGATGGGGCAGTTGTGACGGGGCAGGTGTGATGGGGGCAGGTGTGACAGGGGTGGGTGTGACGGGGGCAGGTGTGACGGGCGGGTGTGAGGCCCCAGGTGACTCTGCGGCCGCCCGGGGGGAACCACTTGGAAAGGTCCCAGCGACCTGCCAAATTCTCTCCTCACTGCCCATACTTTAACTTTTGGTTTGGTGCGACCTTTAGTAAAAGGCTTCATCCCATCTTAGCTTTGGTCTCAGGCTCGGTGGAGGCCCTGGGTCTTTCATTACTGGTGGGAGAAGGGAAATAAGGGAGTGTTAATGGAACTATGTGCACTTTTTATCACCATGAATTACTCTTTTTATTAAGATTAATTCGTTGTTTACTTGGTAACCCAGCTATCACTGTCTCACACACTCTCACATCACAGGCTCCACTATGAACACAATAAATGATCCTGTGACGTGGGTCTGGGGCAGGCAGGTAGGACTGGCTCTCAGGCTTGGACCAGGAGGCCAGGGCACGCTTAGTGGCTCCAGGAATCTCATCTGAAACATTCCATGCAAAAGGCAGGGACAGCCACAGAATTTAGGATGTTCTGTGTGTGCCATGTTAGCTGGTCCTCGAGGCGTGCAGACCTATCAGGAAATCACCCAAATTCAATCACTTTAGCATCTACTCTTCCAGTTCAGGTCAACGCTCTTTGCTCACCTCACATGCCCCACAACGTGTGTGCTTTACATATGTTTGGAAACTAGTGGTATTCCTCAAAAAATCTGAAGTGTCTTTATCTGGGAACACCACCGATGAGAGCCCAGCAGAAGTGTGCTTTCTTTGAAACGATCTCAGATCCAGATTTGCTCCTTGGGAAGCTCATTTTAAGGCCTGTGTCTTTTCTGTCAACCTCCTGCAGCCCACAGAACTCCTGGGGCCTGTGATGTGACTCAGATCTCTGGGAAAGGCAAGGACAGCACTCACCGCCCAGGTGGAACTCTGGTCTCCCTCACTGTCAGGCCTCCCTGCGCTCCTGCTCCCTGACAGCTCCCGTGGGGGCTGTATTCCCAGCAGGGTGTGCTCTCCTTCCAAGAAATCCAGCAGCTTGTGAGACGTGCCAACACCCGGGTCCTCTGCCTCTATTGTGGACTCTGGGCCAGGAAGAAAGGTGGATCTGCATTCCTTACAAAACACAACTTTCCTGGAAGGGATTTTTTTCTTTTTTTTTTCCTAAGCAGTGCCTTGCAGTAGTTCATCTTTTGCTTGGTGCCTTGTGTTTCAGTAGGCTGCTTGTTCAACCTTCTGATGAAATCCAGATCCTGCGCTTGCTCAGAGACATGTTCTTGCTCGGGGCGCCCCCTGCAGTCAGTCCAGCTGGCTGCCAGGCTTGTTGGAGCAGGTCAACCTCAGAGGGCTTCACCCCCTCATCCAACTCAGGGGTTACTGCGTACCAGCTCCCCCCTCACTGGGATTTGTACCCTCTTCCTCTGCTTTTGTCTCAGGTCTTTGCCTGTCAGTAGAGACAGCCTCCGGGCATTTAGTTGCCTACCACAGCTGCAAAGATGACTTCATTCAAAGCTATGTAGCATGCTGCAGGGATTCATGGCTTCCCACCCCCCAAGGAGCTCCAGGGCCAGGCCCACAGTGGGGTGTTGGCTGCAGAAAACTCAAATGTGTCATTCTTTTCTTTTATTGATTTTTTTATTTTTATTATTATTTTTTTTTACAGAGAGGAAGGAAGAGGGATAGAGAGTTAGAAACATCGATGAGAGAGAAACATAGATCAGCTGCCTCTTGCACACCCCCTACTGGGGATGTACCTGCAACCAAGGTACATGCCCTTGACCAGGATCGATCCTGGGACTTTTCAGTCCACAGGCTGACGCTCCATCCACTGAGCCAAACCGGTTTTGGCAGATGTGTCGTTCTTAAATGCTTCTCCAAAGGCAGCTCCTCTACCTTCGCCATGCCCTCTTCCCTGTCTCCACCCTCTTGGATGCATGGAAAAGAAAGCACGGAGATGGGAAGACGGAGCCCCACCACACAGCCTCAGGGTCTGGAAGAGAAGGATTTCTCCATCTCCAGCCAGAATTGGGCAACTTCAGTTCAAGAGCACAAGGTACAAGGAGAGATAAGATTAGCATTCCAGAGGATATGTTTATTGACTTTAGGGGGTGAGGGGAACATCGATGATAGAGAGAAACATGGATTGGTTGCTTCTCTTACAGACCATCGAACCTGCAACCTTCTGGTGTACAGGACAATACTCCAACCAACTGAGCCACCGGCCAGGGCTCCAGTTTTATTTCTAAAAAACAAATTTCGTGCGGGGGTGGGCGGGGAAGGTTTTTCCAAAAATCACTGCAAACTGCTGAGGTGGCGTGGAACCCTTGTGCCAGAAGCTTTAAGCAGATCTTGGGCGACACGTTCTGAGGTGGTCCTGGGTCACTCCAGGAAAATGAAAAATAACGAATCCCATCTTTTTCCGCGAACACTGCCCAGTGCATCTTCTCTAGCGGGTTTCGTTTTTCCTGGGGTCCAACTAGCTCCTGAGGCTGGAGCCTGAGCCTGTTGGGGCTCATCGCAGAGCTGGGAGCAAAGCCAGGGCCCGTTGGCGGGAAGGAACGAACTGGCGCATGGCAGTGGTGGAGGGTAGAACCCGACACACCGACACACAGCGGGCGACCCCCAGCGGGCATCTCCGCCTTACTTCCGCCCCAGGAAAGTTTGCCCCTTGAATTCCCAAAGCTCCCGCTTTTCCTCCCAGTATGCTCCGCGCCCACCGTGCCCGTGATTGGCTGCGCCTCCCCCACGTGACGCGGAGCAGGCGGTGGCGGTTGCCGGGGCGACGGCTGGAGAGTCGGCGGCCCGGCGGGGAGGGCGCGGTTCCCCGCGGCAGAGCCCCAGGTAAGCACGTCCCCGATGGGGCCGGGCCACACCGAGCCCGCGGCCCCGGGAGGGAGGAGCAGCGGTGGGACCCGAGGCCGCGGTGCTGATGCGCCCTCTCCCCAGAGAGAAATCCCGACTTCTCGTTGCGGTCCCGGGCGTGGGCCGAGGACAGGCCCAGCTGCTCCCCGCCACTAAATCCCTGATCTTGGCTGCAGTGGGGCCACCCTTGGCGGGGGTCCCTTCAGATCGGTAGTGGCGGTGCGAGCGGGTGGCCTGGGACTTCTGAATTCACCCCCTCCGTTATCTCCATCATCTAACCACCCTTTCCAGGCATCCCGGTGAGGTCCAGATTTCATTCACTCCAAGAAAAAACGGGATGCTTGCTGTGCAAATTCTTCTTCCAGACACACCCCGCAGTCTTACCCTTAGTCACAAACCCTGTTTATTATTTAGGAATTCAGAGGCTGCCACTGCAGCCCTCAGAAGTGAAGAAGTTTCCTCTAGTTTCTCCATGAAGTACAGCAGTGGCTCTCAAGCCTGAATGTGCATAAAGATCACCCGGAGAGCTTGATTAAAACAATTTGGGGCGTGAGATCAGGGTGGTGCTGGGAACCTCCATTTGCACAAGCATCCCAGGTGATTTGGATTCAGGTGGTGCAAACCCAGGATAATGCTGTGCAGTGGATAACGTTGGTCTGGATTTAAATTCCCACTTTCCCACTTACTAGCCGAGTTCTTCCTGGATCAAGCTCTGACCAGGAACCAAACTGGCAACTTTTCAATAGTTGGGATGATGCTCACCCAACTGAGCCACACTGGCCAGGTCCTCAACCTCATTTTTATCTCAACATCCTGGCCACACAAGTTTCTCCATCCTCCTTATTGTTAGGCTTCTTTCCCTCCATTGTCCTCATCCACTCACGGTGTGGTCATGCACCACCTCCAAAATTTTTATTTCAAGAACCCTCTCTGACCACCACCCTCTTTAAAGCTCACTTTAAGTACCTCTTAAGCAGATCTTTGGCCCCATTTCCTTTTCTCTGGCTTACAACTCCCTATGTACCTTCCTACCCCCTTCTTAGCTTCAATGCTCCATCACTGTTGTGCTTGTTTTCACTTTCCCCTATCTTCTGGGAAAACCTCACTCTGATTAACCTAACTCAGACACCGAAGGTGGAGAAAACTAGAAATTGTGCACACTTTTTGTAAATGTTTAATATGTTTATTTAGGAGCAGAGGGAGGGATTAGTGACTGTGTTCATTTACATCAGATTAATTCTAATTCCTTCCTTAAAGTAGATGAATTGACCTTATCATTAAACTCTGTTCTGTTCTAAATACACTTTGTGGTTTTGACTATTTAAATTGCATACCACATTATAGCACATTAGAAAACTAAATAAAAAAAAACTAGTCTTCCACACTATCACCAGCAATCTTTGACTTTCTCATTTACACCATCCTCTAGTCCTTGTCCATATTCATTGTAAGTGTAGGAAGAATTACTGTTACTAATTACATAGAAGAAAGAAATTACTTTTGACTTTAGGGATCCCATTTCCTAGTGCTGCTATAATAAATTACCATAAGCACAGTGGCTTCAAACAACACAGGTTTATTATCTTACATTTCTGGAGGTCGGAAGTCTGAAATGCGTCTCACTGGACTAAATCAAGATGTTTGTAGGGCTTCTAGAAGATTCCTGTATTCCGTGGCTCCTGGCCACTCCTCCGCTTATAAGGCCGGAAAATGGCTGGTTGAGTCTTTGGCATCGACCCTCTTGTTTCCCTCTTTCCTTTGGAAGGAGCCCTGTGCTTACACTGGACCTACCTGATAATCCAGGCTACTCTTCCTGTTTTTTTAAATAATTTTTACAATTTTCACCCGAGGATATGTTTTTATTTATTTGAGAGAGAGAAAGAGACAGAGAGAGAGAGAGAGAGAGAGAGAGAGAGAGAGAGAGAGAGAGAGAGAGAGAGAGAGAGAGAGATTGACGTGAGAAACAGTGATCATTTGCCTCCGGTAGATACCGTGAGGGTTCAAACCTGCAACCTAGGTATGTGCCCTGACTAGGAATCGAAACTGCAACCTTTTGGTGTACTGACAATGCACCAACAGCTAAGCCACCTGGCTGGGAATATACTTCCTATTTTATTTTATTTATTTTTTAAAATAAATTTTATTGATTTTTTACAGAGAAGAAGGGAGAGGGAGAGTTAGAAACATCAATCAGCTGCCTCCTGCACACCCCCTAGTGAGGATGTGCCTGCAACCAATTTACATGCCCTTGACCATAATTGAACCTGGGACCTTGAGTCCAAGGCTGACACTCTATCCACTGAGCCAAACCGGGCAGGGCTATTCTCCCTATTTTAAATCATGTTTGGCAACCTTAATGTCATTGGAAGCCTTCATTTCTTTTGCCTTATAATATGACATATTGTCAGCTTCTGGGGATAAAGATGTGGATATCTTTGGGGACCATTATCCTGCACTCCACAGCCACCTTTTTGTGACTTCACAAATGTTTAGAATGAAAGCTTTTGTTTAATATTTTTGCCTTGTAGAGATTTTTGCTGAGAATTAACAGTAACCTTTCAATATGGGGGATATCCTGGCTCATGAATCCGAATTGCTTGGACTAGTGAAAGAGGTAGGTATGTAATACTACAGAGAAAGCTCGCGAAAACTGGTAAAGCTTGCATTTACAATGCGGCAGGCTCTATAGTGCCTTGCCCGTCTCTTCTGTCATTACATCCCAGTTATCTATTTTCCATGACACAATTTTCCCTGTGTTTACATTTTGTTTTCATAACTAACTAAACTGAAATCTTAAAGCTGCTTTTAGAATTCTTTTAAAGAAAATTATAAGAGCAACACATAGTTATGGTAAACAGCCTGAAAGTATAAACATTGAATTTCCCTGTTCTGCTCCTGCAATGACCATAGCTAATGATTTAAAGTATTATCTTTCCAGACTTTTTTCTATGAATACTCAAAATACATCCACAGGCCTGTAATTTGTTTCACAAAATGGGATGGTCCCATACACATTGTTCATGTAGCTTGTCATTAGTCCGCCAACAATAACAGCCTGCACGTCTCCCTGTGGTCCTCACCTTTTTTAATGCTGTAGAGCTGTGATCTGTAAACTGCGGCTTGTGAGCCACACGCGGTTCTTTGGCCCCTTAAATGTGGCTCTTCCACAAAATAACACAGCCTGGGCGAGTCTATTTTGAAGAAGTAGCATTAGAAGAAGTTTAAGTTTAAAAAATTTGGCTCTCAAAAGAAATGTCAATCATTGTACTATTGATATTTGGCTCTGTTGACTAATGAGTTTGCTGACCACTGCTGTAAAGCATTTCATTGAGTGGCTGCATCATAACTCCTTATCTGGTGCCTATTGATGGATGTTTTGGTGTCCCACACGGAAAGCTTTTGAAGGGTAGGACCCACGCCTTATGCTTTCTGGTGTCCTCTGCTGCTTTTAGTGTGGGTGGCACATAGTTGCTGTTAAAGGAACGGTCGCTACTGCTTTACTGTGAGATCCAGCTGTCCACTGGGCATCGAGAGGTGCGGCCGTGGAGCAAGGATGAGGCATCCACCTGGAGACACAGCTTTGGGATTTGTTGGCATGCTTATGAATAAATTATTTTTTTTCAGTATCTGTAGATACTTTAATAATAAAACTATTTCAACATAAAAAATTCAGAGCCTTCAAAGTCATGTATGTGAACAGCAAGCTATCTAAAAGCATGCATGTCTAAAAGAAAGAAGCAGCAGGACAAAAACTGTCTATACTCAAATCAACAGGAGAGCTTTTTAAGAATGAAAAACTTAATAAGGTTCTTTAGGTTATCAATGCATGAATAAATTCTTAACACAGCGGAGGGCTGTGGACAGGCCTGAGGACAGAGTCACAGGAGAGGAGGGAACAGAAAGGTGCGACTGACAAAGTGGGAGGCGGGCGGAGTGTCACGAGCAACGGTGGAGCCGTGGTGCTGGATGCAGGGCTGGGGCGTCAGGATCAGCAGTGCTCTGTCCGGAGGCCGCTGATTGTACTGCCCATCTTCTCCTGACTTCTCTTCAGCAGAGGCATTATCTCTCATCCCTCTGTTCCAAGTAACAAATCCCCAGAGACCTACCTGACCCAGAGCCATCAGGCTGTCTGCCCATCACTTACTTTTTCCGATGGCTGCAAACGTGATTTATTTCCTATTAATAATTATAATGAATCATGGAGCTCACATTTTCATTCTGAAAGCCAACTTATTTTGTGTAAAGAAGCATTTTTTATGTTACCGTCTTTTAGTGTATATATGGAAAGTACATTCTAAGCTGGATCCCAGATTCTCCCCATAATGACAGTCCCTTAACCCCATTAGATATTGGTGATAATATTGAACTGGTGTAGTTACATCAAAGGGAGTTACATTGTTGATGTTAAAACAGAGAACTATACATTTGTGGTCTCTTTTATAGTATTTAGATTTTGCTGAATTTGAAGACACCTTGAAAACATTTTCAAAAGAATGCAAAATGAAGGGAAAAGCATTACCTAAAACAGCCCGTCGCTCTTTAAGGGACTCCAAATCATCGATAATCCAGGTAACATTTTACTTTTTAAAAATTTCTGTTGATAATCAAAATGCTCCCAGTTCGTAAAGAATGCTGCTGCTTGAGCATGTTGGAATCTCTTTGGGGGGCCCGTCAGAGTGTGAGGTATTGGGAGGGCTGTGAGAATTTTGGGTGACGGAAGAAAGGACACCCATGATTGGGCTTCAGTCTGATGTCTCCTCCACAGAAGGACCTCATTGCTGCGTTTGACGACGGAGCCCAGAAAGTGTTCTTCGATTTGTGGGAAGAGCACATTCCCAGCTCCATCCGGGATGGTGACTCCTTTGCCCAGAAGTTGGAGTTCTACCTTCACATCCATTTTGCCATCTATCTTCTGAAGCGCTCCGTGCGGAGACCTGTACGTTCCCTTGTGAGGCAGTTGGTCCGAATAGTGTGTTAAGGGAGAATGATAGCTGTTATGTTTCCTAATGAGCATTAATTTAGTTTATGGCCATTTTATCATAATGCTGAGGGTAGGTGTCTTGTGTCCTGATGAATAATTTTCTACCTCATTCCCAGCAATTTCGTCTTTCTTTCTTTCTTTTTTTCATTCTTTCTTTTTCTGTTAATCCTCACCAGAGGATTTTTTTCCCATTGATTTTTTATTTTATTTTTTTTAGAGCAAAGAGAAGGGAGGGAGAGAGAAGGGGGGAAGGAGAGGGAGAGAGATACATTTATGTGAGAGAGACATATCAATGGTTTCCTCCCATACATGCCTCAACTCAGGCTGGGGATTGAACCTGCAACCCAACTATGTGTCCTTGATCAGAAATCAAATCTATGATCCTTCAGTGCATGGGCTTACGCTCTAACCACTTAGCAACACACTGGCCAGGGCAGCAGTTTATTTTCTAGTTTACATAGAGAGTTAACAGTTTCTGTAATGAAAGCTACATTGTTTTTCTGAATACCTCAAGTTTTTGAAAACTCAGCAAACATATGCATGTATGTCTAAGAACACATATGTAGACCACATATATATTAGAAGACAAGTTTAAGCATTAACAGTAGAAAAACGGTATGCCTGTGCATTCGTTAAGTTTAGCTTCTGAAGTCTTTCCCAGGCGCGGCTGGGGACCTGCAGAGAGGAGAGGGCGTCGAGGCTGCCGGGCGGGTGAGCCTCCCGGTGCAGAGCCACGGAAAGGGAGCAGGGCCGCGCGGACATTGGACCACGTGCACTTGGCTAGTGGCTTGTCCACGCTCTACCTGCTGCTTGAGGACCTGCGTTAAATTATTGAACTGTCAGAGGGGTCAGTGATGGAGGGAGCAGCCCTACAGAACATTATAGTAGCCATTCTTAGAAGGCTGTTCCTAAGATAGCACTCATGTGGGTACCATCATGGGAGATTCTCATTTCCTTTGTATTTATTTATATTTTCTAAGTTTCCCATTGATATAAGTTTTAAAAAATAAATAAACATGATATATTTTTTACCTCTGGTTCTTACAATGTAGGTGCAGTGAGATGCTTTGATTATTAGAACAGGCTGTGAGGGGGGTGTCCTGGAAGGAAAATGCCAAATTCAAGGCTGGAGGTGCAGGAGGAGATGGAAACCCTGAGCAGGACTTGCTTGGTTTTCGTGTGGAATTAGTGCAGCAGGCAAGATCACTGCTCAGTCACCGTAATGAAGGAAAGGCGTGTGATGTGGAAATTTGTTTAAAAAAACTACTCACCTTTTGAAATCTCTCCTACGGGAATCATGGAAATGCTCACAAATATTTATGATCTCGGGAACGTGGAAACTGTGTACCTATCTGATAATGGGGAGTTGGTTAAATTGTGACAGACACACTAGATGAAGTTTTGTCCTGCCATAATACGATGTTTATGATGAATCGTAAGGCTGTGAGAAAATGGTAATAAAGTAAAAGGCAGTATATTGAACATATGTCTGTTCTCTGATATTCCTGACGGTTTCATGAAGGTGAAATTGCGGGCGCTGTCGGAATGACCGGAGACAGCGCACTTGCCGGCGCCGAGGCTGGAGAGAGATGTTGGGGTGGACGGTGGGCTGGGCGGGCTGGCGTCAAGCAGGGGACCTCAAGTGAGCATCTTCCCTTTCTCATAGGACAAAGAGGAATTGGATGAAAGGATTTCTTATTTCAAAACCTACCTGGAGAGCAAAGGGGCAGCACTGAGCCAGACCACTGAGTTCCTCCCTTTCTATGCGCTGCCGTTTGTGCCAAACCCGATGGTGCACCCGTCCTTTAAAGAGCTCTTCCAGGTGAGTGGCGGCCTCTGAGCCTTAGTCTGCAGCCTGTGGCTTCGCCAAGTTCACGCTGGTGCTTCCGAAAGGTGCTGTGAAAGCTCAAGTTGGCTTATGTTGCAGTTCAAGAATACTCAGATGATTTGCTTTAACTTTCCTGTGCTATAAAGGGTGATTTTTTTTTTTTTTGGTTGCACCATGATTTATTAAAATAGACAAGAACATAAATATTTTTACTATACTAATCTCTTAAATCATTCTGTGTATACTTTTTCAGTATTGGATGGATAATTCAATTACATTGACAGTAGCCTGAAAAAGAACTAGAGTACTTTACGTAATTGCTGGTCATATATAGATTTTTAATTGGTTTTAGAGAGAGAGAAAAAAAAAAACACACATCAATTTTTGGTCCACGTATTTATGCACTCATTGGTTGCTCCTTGTATGTGCCCTGACCAGGAATCAAACCTGCGACCTTGGCATTTTGGGATGACCCTGAAATGAACCAGCTATATATTTTAATTTGTAATAAAATTCTCACTTATTTGGTGTATATTTGGTTACCTGATTTGTACTATTATTTCCATCAGACTATTTACCTATAGGTCTTTAAAACATTTTTTTAATTGATTGACTTGAGAGAGAGAGATAGAGAGAAGTTGTTCCACTTACTTGTGCATTCATTGGTTGCTTTTTGTATGTGCCCTGATCCAGGACCCAACCCACAACCTTGGAGCATATTGGGACGGCACTCTAACCAACTGAGCTACCTGGTCAGGGCCTGCCTATTGCTCTTTTAATTTTTGGTGGGTCCGGGCCAGGCAGGGGGTGGGCCAGAAGGTGGAGCCTGTGAGGCAGAGGCGGGGCAATGCATGGGGGCAGGGCAGAGGGTGATCTTTTCATTGTTATACTTTATTTTATTTTTTAAAAATACATATTTTTATTGACTTCAAAGAGGAAGGGAGAGGGAGAGATAGAAACATCAATGATGAGAGAGAATCATTGATTGACTGCCTCCTGCACGCCCTACACTGGGGATCGAGCCCACTACCGGGCATGTGCCCTTGTCTGGAATCGAACCTGGGACCCTTGAGTCCAGAGGTTGACGCTCTACCCACTGAGCCAAACTGGCTAGGGCTCTTATACTTTATTTTAGTTAAAATTTCAGCATAATATTTATTTAATAAGATTTACCTATTATAGTAATTTTTGTTGACTTACTAAACTGAATATGTCCCACAGAATTTTATTGAAGTGTATTTTGAGCCTGAACTGTTTTGATATAGATTGTTTATCTAAAGATCTTATACTGTTCCCAAGAATCTATATGGAGCTTACTCCTCTGCCATTGAACATTGGATGCAATTCTCCTGAATTGCATTTCAATTTCCTATTCCGTTATGATCCAGTAAAACAATGTTCTCCCTCTTTAGTAGCAGCTGACAAACCAGAGGCTGACTGATTCACCAAAGCAGGCTTGTTGTAAAGTAGCCTACATTGAATTCTGTGCTTATTTGTTTTGTTTTTGGTCAGTCCAAATTTAGTTTTACCACTTTCTTCTCCGAGAAGGTTGAGATAGAAGGGTTAGGAAGGTGGTAAACTTGACAAGGATAGCAGATTTTCTCACAGTAAAGACTTCAGTTTGTGAAAACTATGACATAGCAGCATGGCTACAACTTAGCTGAGGGTGAGGTGAAGCTGGCAGTCAGGCATTGAAGACCATCAGTATTCATGGAGCCGTTTTATTCCTTTTTTTTTTTTTTTTTTTTTCTGTTTGCTACTCCCTACATATGTTCTAATAATGGTCATCATAGATACTTCAGTGTGTATGCATAATAAAATCTAAAGTTAATGTCTTTATTTTCTTTCTGACCTTACAAGGTTCTGAGAATGTGTTAACCTCATCATCCCCTTTCCAATTTATGTGCTATTATCGTCAAATATTTTAGTTTAACCCCACAAGTTAGACTTTTTTGCTATTTTATGCTGTCAGTGTGTGCATAGCTTTGTCCTCACCTTTGCCCATATTTTGCTTGCTATCTCATCTCACATTGAGGACCTTCCATCTGGGATCATTTTCTGCTCCAACTTAAGAACATTCCTTTAAAATCCCCTTTGGTTGTGGCCCCTTCTTTCAGTTCTCCTTTGTCTGCAAATGTTTTGACTGCATTCTTGAGTTTGGGGTAGTAGACTTACAGTTACTTTCTTTTAGCACATTGGAGGTATCATCATTTTGTCTCCCAGCTCCTATTGCTGCTATTTTGAATTTGGCCATCAGTCTAATTGCTGCTACTTTATAGGTGGTCTGTCTTTTTTGCTGGCCTTTAAGACTACAATTTCACTACAGTGTGTTTAGGGACACCCAGATGTTCTGTTTTGTTTTGTTTTTTTGTCTTGATTTATGCTGGCCAACATAGCAGTCCTTTCATGGGATTCTTTTCTGTACATGGAGTGGCCAGATTATTATGATCTCTGAGCGCATAATAATCTGGCCACTCAGTGTATTAATATATCCTATATAACAGTGTTTTTCAACCTTTTTTGGGCAAAGGCACACTTGTTTCATGAAAAAAATCACGAGGCACACCACCATTAGAAAATGTTAAAAAATTTAACTCTGTGCCTATATTGACTATATATAAAGTAATTCTCTTGAATAGGAATCAAATAAACACAAAGAAAGTATTTTATAATTACTTTATTATGAAATATTAAGTAAACAAAATAGTGAAAAATTATAAAATTCTTGTCTTGTCTGCACCTACGGCACACCAGGCAACATCTCGCGGCACACTAGTGTGCCGCGAAACAGCGGTTGAAAAACGCTGCTATATAATAAAAGGCTAATATGCAAATTGTCCCCTCAACCAGGAGTTCGACCAGCAGGCAGGCTGGCCAGCCAACTGCCCATGTCCCCTTCCCCTGGCCAGGCTGGCTGGATCCCACCTATGCACGAGTTCATGCACTGGTCCTCTAATATATATATATATATATATATATATATATATATATATATATATATATATATACACATACACACACACACTGAGTGGACATATTATTATGCATTCAGAGATCATCATAATCTGGCCACTCAGTGTATGTGGAGCACAGAGAGCCTAACATTGTGTTAGTTTCCTGCAGCTGCCCTTGCAGAGGACCACAGACGAGGTGTCTTATAACAACAAAAACTTACTGCCTCACAATTTAGGAGTCCAGAGGCCTGAAATCCAGGTGTCTGTGGCAGAGCTGGCCTCCCTGCCAGGCCTCCAGAGGAGGGTCTCTCCTTGCCTCTCCAGCTTCTGGAAGGTTCAAGTGTTGCTTGGCTCGTGGCAGCATAACTCCAGCCTCTAATCTGTCCTTACATGCCATCTTCTCTCTGTGTCTATCTGAAATTTCCTTTTTCTTATAAGGACACCATTCATGTTGGATTAGGAGCCCACCTTCTCTAATACAACCTCATCCTAACTAGTTACGTCTTCAGCCACCCATCCCCAATGACCTCACATTCTGAGATTGAGACACAGTTCAACCCATAATACACACATATTATAAATAGTTATGCTGTGTCAGGGAATTATGAAATCTTTTTAAAATGTAAGACTTTTCTGCTTATCTGGCAGTATTTTTTGAAAGGTAACACATTGGATGACTGGGTGAGTGGGGCAGGAGGTGTGGGTGAGGATACAGAGCTGGAGGAGAGCAAATGGGGAGGGCGGGAAGGTCTGTGGGCGCTGGGCAGGAGCTCGGGTCCGTGGATAGGAAATTTTGGTGCTGCAGCTTCATTTTGGTGGAACTTCTTAGTTTGGGTAGTAGATATTTTTATATAAAGACTGTGAGGAAAATTACCCTGAGAAAGGTTGTTGCTTATGACACCTTTTTCTTTCACTACTTATTTTTTTCTTCTCAGTGAGCATTACTTAAGAGAAATAATTTATTTTTAAGGAGCAAGTCAAACTAAAAATATATTGTAACCCCTGACACGATGGAGTACGTGAAGCACTGTCTCTCTTCCTTACCCACATGAGGTTTGTGGAAGCGAGTGCCGTTCTTCGGGAGGCCTTGGGTAACGCGGTGGTCATTGTGTGCCTGCCAGAGCCACGAGTGCCTGAACTGTACTGGATTCTTTTGGGTCATCAACCTAATAAGGTTACTTGTCATGCTTGTGTTTAAGTCACATGAAATATTCAAATCATGTACAGGGTTATTTTCCCCCTGTTTATGAAAGAACTCTGTTTTTTCCTTCCAGCTGGGACTTGAATCTGCTATAAATTGGTCAGTTGTCCTAAAATCTGTGTTTTAAGCACCACGCCACTGCCAAAACAGCTAGCTTATTTAACCCTGAAGGCCACAACTTGATGATGCTGTTGGCATTTAGTGACCTAGCTTTTATTTTATTTTCCTTGTTCTTTTTCCTTCAGGATTCTTGGAGTCCAGAATTGAAGTTGAAGTTGGAAAAGTTTCTAGCTTTAATTTTTAAAGCCAGTAACACGCCAAAGCTTTTAACATTATATGTATCCTTTCAAAGCCGGTGGAGACCACCGTGGTGTTAGAGTGCTCGCTGGCTTAGACTGCCTCACAAACAGGGATAACTGATGAGGCCACTTTCACGTGCACCGGTGAATGAATTAGTAATGGGAGGGTGTGCCGAGGTCCGTAAAGGGTTGACTTCTGTGGCATTGGGTCTCTGAGAGTGGGTAGGGCCTTTTTTTTTTTTTTTTTTTTTTTTTTTTAAAGAGAAATGAGAAAAGAGAGGGAAAGACAGAGAGAAACACTGATGTGAGAGAAACGCATTGATTGATTACCTCCTGCACATGTCCTGACCAAGACCAGGGCTGGGAGGAGCCCTTTACTGAAATTGAACCCAGAACCTTTCAATCCATAGGCCAACAACACTCTATCCACTGAGCCAAATTGGCTAGGGCTTTAAAATAAATAAATAAATAAATAAATAAATAAATAAATAAATAAATAAAATATATTTTATTGATTTTAGAGAGAGAGACAGAAATATCAATGATGGGAATCATTGATCAGTTGCCTCCTGCAAGCCCCCTACTGGGGATGGAGCCCACAACCCAGGCATGTGCCCTTGACTGGAATCGAACATGGGACTCTATCCATTGAGCCAAACCAGCTAGGACTAGGGTCATATTTTTATGTCATGTGTTAGTAGGAGGGTAGAAATGTCTTTTTTGAAAAGTACTCCTTGGAATAACTATCCCTTTGTAAAAAACTGTTTAACCATTTTTAAGGCCTTGAAGCCCTGGTTCATGGGTTATGAGATCATATAACTTGTTATTCAAATTGGGACTTTTTAAAAAAAAATTGATTTCAAAAAGGAAGAGAGAGGGAGAGAGAGATGAGACATCAATGATGAGAAACAACCATTGATTGGCCGCCTCCCACATGCCCCACACTGGGGATCGGGTCCACAACTCAGGGATATGCCCTGACCAGGAATCAAACCGTGACCTGGTTCATAGGACAACCGGCTGTGCTGTTTTCACCCAAACCCCAATTTCCTGGGATAAAGCGTTAGCACCAAGTGACAGTTAAAGGGTATGAATTCAGATTTGCACATTTATCGTAGTAGAATGTTTTGGTAGCAATGGGGAAGATGTTTTGAAGGGGGTAAGGAGGCCAGTTAGGAGGCTGTTGAAATAGTATAAGACTTGGATGTACAGGGAGGCAATTAACATGGAGAGAAGAGGATTTATTTGAGAGCGAGTTGCCCAAGTGATGAGAAGCCAGTAACCATCTTAGCTATTGGTAGCACATTAGGGAGGAAGTGGCCTTCGCTATGCTGACAATCCTCTTTCCACCATGCTGGGGTGGGAGACCCCGAGGACTGCATCCTGAGTGCCCATTTTCCTGAACTGCTTTCTCATTCCAGAAGGAGAATGGACAAAGTCACAAAGGTAAACCCTGCCATGTAGATTAACGGAGTTTTAAATAACAGCCTTGCCAACTCAAGTTTTAAGTAGTGAGATGGAGAGAATTCCAAAGACTTGGAGAATAAGGGTTTTAAAAGTCTAAATATTTATAAAATGCTTTGCAATTATTTTTATCTGAGATTCCTTGAGGCCCACTCTTCAGGAAGGCTGGTGTTTTAGCTTCGTCTTGTATGTAAAGTAACTAAGACGGAGAAATGAAGCAAATCCACGCGCCATGCGGAACTGCAGCCGCGCAGTTGGAAGAGCGGGGAGGGCGGGCCGCGGGATCATTTTAGTGTCTTCCGCTTTCTCCTTGAACTAGATTAATAGCAACATGGAATACCCATTCTTATAAAGCATTCCCATCTTTTACCTTCAAGGTAGGAATTCCAGTCTTAATTTTTTACCATTAAAATTATGTTTTTCCATGATTAGTCATTTTTACTGGAACTGTCACTTTTCAGAAAGATAAGAAAGATTGTAGTTATCATGAAATTGGCCAGAGTTGGGGTTCTATGCCTGAGTTTGTCTTTGATACTGCATTATAAAAACCACTCACATGTTTGTGCTGAAAGTACGGGATGTGCTTCAGGCGTTGGGTAAGGATAGGCGGCATCAACCTCAGTTCCAGCAGGTGGAGTCTTACCACATGCAACAGAGCATTTCCCTCCTCACAGCTGAGTAATGTTAGTGAGGATTTCAGAACTTCCTGCCATTGTCCTTCCTGTTCTCTTTAGAAAGTTGACATTTTCTAAAGAGAGGAAACATTGATCAATGAGTTAGGTCTTTGCTTTCCAGGGACTGGACAAGTGAGGGATGCTTTAGTGGCTTCAGATAAGAAGAGTTTAGAATTAGGGGTGTCGAACTCAATCAGAGAAGGGGCCAAAATCTAAAATCCAGCCTAAATCGCGGGCCGAATGGTTTACTGAACAGTCATAAACTGTCATTGTGATGGAAACGCAGCGGAGTGCAGTGATGACAGCGTGGTGCGGGCCACATTGCAAGGCCTGGCGGGACGGATTTGGCCCGCGGGCCTTGTGTTTGACACATGTGGTTTAGATGTTTGTTTTTGTGCTTGGTAGCCATGCAGATCCCCAGCCCAGCAGCTCTGAATTCTGGTTCTGCCAGCTGTGCTGCCCCTCTTAGAACCCACTGACGTTTCATGGAGGAGCCGCAGTCCTGTGCCTGAGCACGGAGGAGCAGGGTGCGGATGCGGCCTCCTGGGGTCCACACGGAATGGTCCCGGGGTTGCCAGGCTGCAGCCGTAGAGCTTCTCAAGATGCTGTGCCCCCAGCACAGTTCTATCCGAGGACAAGCCCTCCAGCCCATCTCTCAGCTGCTCAGGCCTGCTCCCTACAGTGTTGGTGCATTTCCCAGGCCCTGGCTGGGCAGCTCCCGTGCAGCTTTCTCACACCAGCACAGCTGGAATCGTAAATTAAGCTGCGTGCTCGGGTCTTGCCCTGCAATGCCTGGAAACGTTTCTTTGCCCCACTGTTTCTACTGCTGTTGCTGCCTCGCATACCACCTCAGGTGTGAAACAACAGCATCATTTTTTATTATCATCATCTTGTGTGGGAACTGGATTCAGGCAGTTCTCCCTTGCGATGTCTCCAGGGTGCAGACGGAGCTGGTGCAGCCATCGCCAAGGCATCCTCACCACGTTCACACATCTGCCGGCTGGTGTTGGCTGTCGGCTGGGGTCTCAGCAGACCCCTTGACTGGAACACCCACATGGACTTCATGTGTCCTGAGCCTCCTCAGGGCATGGTGGCTGGGTTTCCAGGATGAATGTCCCCAGAGAGAACCAATGGAAGCCGTGTCACCCTTTCTAACCCAGCCTCTGAAGTGACTCAGGGTCATTTCTGCTGCATGCTCTTCCTTAGAATTGAACTCCTGTGGTCAGCCCACATTCAGGGAAGGGGAATTATACCTCACCTCCTGGTGGGAAGGAGAGTCAAAGACTTTGCAGTCATATTCTAAAACCACCACCCCTCTCACGGGTCCCAGAGAACTGCCTCGGCCCCACACTCAGGCTGCTCAGCTCCTGCTCAGATTAATTCTCTGGATGCCCTGGCACTAGGGGAAGGAGGTGGTGAGAAACTGCTTCCAGATTCCTGATTTTCTCCAGCCCCTGAGACCCCAGCATACCCTGCAGTATTTGAGGCTAGCTTTCTGCTGGGAACAGTGATGTCTCTGAAAAGTGGCCCAATTTTGCAGGCAAAATAAACATGGGAGGGGAGTGCAAATAGAAGAACCTGTATTTTGCTACAGATCTTTTCATTTGAAATTTCAGCAAGGAGACCAGGGTTTTTGAGCCTTCTTTAATTTTGTTTTAATTGAGTTTTCTTAGGAGAGCCAAGCAAAATTGAGTCTGGCAGGCACAGTGTGTTTCTGTGGCTGAACACATCCCGAAATGCAGTATTGCCTTGCAGGTCAGACATTAGCTCTGCAGAGCACGTGCACCAGGGGCAGGCCCAGTGTCAAGACAGCCAGTGGTCACCTCTTTGTCTCTTCCTCCCAAATCTATAGTTGCACTGACCATAAGGCACAGACATGCTTCCAATTTAATTCTAGGCTTAGGTGTTGGGGGGAAGGGGATTGTGTGTGTGTGTGTGTGTGTGTGTGTGTGTGTGTTTAATCCTCACCCGAGGAGCTAGAATATTTTTAGAGAAAGTGGAAGGGAGGAGGGCAGAGAGAGAGAGAGAGAGAAACATTGATTGGTTGCCTCCCACACAGCCCCAACAAGCTGGGGATTGGATTTGCAACTGAGGTACATGCCCTTGACTGGGAATCGAACCTTCCACCCTTCGGTCCATGGGCTGACATTCTAACCACTGAGCAAACCAGCCAGGGCAACAATTCCATATTTTAAAATGATCATTTTATCTTGAACAACTAAGGGATCTCTAAAATGAAATCTCATCTACTTCTTTAAAAATTTTAAAAGCAGTGCACTTAAATGAAGGAGGAATGTTAGCAAGGGGAGGAGGCTCGACTGACTGGGGAAGATCGCCACCACTTTTCTTACTGTTCCATTGCTCAGGAACAACAGAAAACTTTCTGTGCCCTTAACTGGCGTTCTTTCAGAGTGCTCAGACCTTGTTTAAAATTCAGAATGCAGTTCTTCAGACTTTGGAAATACGAAGAATCTCAATAAATTTCACTAACATGAGTAAGCCAGTTTCATTAAAATAACGTGGAATAAGACATCTCCATTAAAAGTTGAGCTCTCACATTGCAAGGCGTCTTGGCCTAGATTTCCTTGTCTCATAAAATGTTTGGCAGGATAAAAGAGTCAATTCTGTTTAATGCTCAGAAGTAAAGTTGGTGTTTTGTGCTGTGACTCAAACAGCTTAAGTCATGTTCAGGTCCCATTTGTCAGCAGCGAAGGTGTCTGCAAGGTGATGGCTCTGGAGAGCAGGCTGTTTTGCTAAATGGTGCATTTGAAATGGTCACAAACGTGTCAGCCCAACTGCCTTCTCTCCTTCCTGCAGGCTGTGGGCAGTTAGATAGATCTCTTTTCCATCAGTGCACCATACTTTGAAGTTGTCACAAATTCCAGTTCTGGGTTTCTAAGGCAAAAAATCCATAAATAGTTTCTTACATTTACATTCATTGTATGGTGAGTTTCGAGGTGAAGAGTTCCTTAGTGCGTCCCCTTTACAGGGGACTACTTGGATGACATTGATGTTTGGGAAGTTATTTGACCCAGCTAATGGGTTTCGGTACTTCATTCAGTATCTGCCACTTGGTATGTGATGAGAAAGTTCACACAGACACTCTCTAAACTTATTACTATGAAATGGAATTATCAGTATCCTTTAAAATTTTCATTGTTGGAAGTTCCAGTTTATGTAATTTTGAGTTTTGTACATATGAAAAACTTTTATAGTACTCAGTGTAGGGAGAAGGTAGTGACCCCCTTTCCCTAATAATATTTAAGGAGAAGCTTGATAAATGACCTCCAGGGATGTCTTCCAGAAGTTCAAGTACTGAACGTAAGTTTGTGCTAGGTGGCCTTTCAAAGTTATCTTTCACTACTCAGATTTGATGGGTGCTAAATAATGATAGTAATAATTGTTCATTATTGTGTGGCTAGAGGCCCAGTGCATGAATTCGTGCACGGATGGGGTCCCTCGGCCTGGGCGGAGATCAGGCCCATCGGGGAGGCCAGTAGGGGATATGGTGGGGGAGGGACTGCAAGAGGTTGGTCAGCCGCAGGAGGTTAGTTGTGGGAGCGTACTGACCACCAGGGGCAGCTCCTGAGTTGAGTGTCTGCCTCCTGGTGGTCAATGCATGTCATAGCAACCTGTTGACTGCTATGTACATAAAAGCCTAATAGTTGCTTAGGCTTTTATGTATATAGATATTTGGGGTTTTAAGAGTTAAAATATTTTATTTCTGCACATCAATAAAAAATATAAGCTTTTGAAATACAGTTTGTATATATGGGTGATCCCCATGGCTGTTTAAGACACAAATTAGGAGGAACAGATAACAGGACAGTGGCTCTGGAGTGTTAGCATGTGTCAGAGCCATTGGGGAACTGTATAGATACTCACCCCCTCCCAGGGGCCACAAAATCAGTCGCTGGAGGTGAGGCTTGATCATCTTTATTTCTGGATGATTCTGATGTATTTCATGTTTGCAGACCACTGCTGTAGGATATAACCTTCTACCACTTTTTAAAGATATAGAAATACATTTAGAAAATATTTGTCCCCTTCCCATGAAAGGAAATAATAATAGTTACCATTTATTGATCACGTGCTATAGGTTAATATTGTGCTAGGCACTTTGAATGTATTTGTTCATTTAATCCTCACAATAACCTTTTGAGATGATTATCATTTCCCCCATTTTATAGCTTAAGAAATGAGACCAGAGAACTTAAATATCTTGCCTCAGTTTATCCAGCAAGAAAGTGATAGAGTAGGGATTTGAGCACTGGTCTTTATAATTTTAAAATATCTCTGTATACATGAACTGTGTTCTAAAGTAAAGACTTTAAATATTACACAGAGGCTGGATTGGGACAATAGTGAGTTAACTTGGGTTTTTCCATCCAAAATGTAGCATTCCAGGGAAGGGGAGAAGTGTGGTGGGTCAAAGGAGTGTTGGCACTGCTGAAGAGTCGCCTGTCCCAAATGTGCCCAGCAAGTGCTGCCCCTGGGAGGACTTGGGGCCATTCTAAGAAGGAAGCCTAGAACCTTCCGAGTTTGCCTGCTCTTAGTGGATAGTTTATGCTTTAAGAAACTGGCACAATGAGCCCTGGTTGGTGTTGGTTGGAGCATTGTCCTATACACTGAAAAAATTCGAGGGTTCGATGCCCGGTCAGGGCACATACCTAGGTTGCGAGTTCAATTCCTGGTCAGTGTGCATGTGTGAGGTAGTCAATCAGTGTTTCTCTCTCACATAGTTGTTTCTCTCTCCCTCGCCCTCTCCTTCCTCTCTCTCGAAATTCAATAAAAACATACTCAGCCGAAGCCGGTTTGGCTCAGTGGTAGAGCGTCGGTCTGCGGCTGAAAGGTCCCGGGTTCGATTCCGGTCAAGGGCATGTACATTGGTTGTGGGCACATCCCCGGTAGAGGGTGTGCAAGAGGCAGCTGGTCGATGTTTATCTCTCATTGACATTTCTAGCTCTCTATCTCTCTCCCTTCCTCTCTGTTAAAAATCAATAAAATATATATATATATATATATATATATATATATATTTTTTTTTTTTTTTTTTTTTTAAACCATATACTCAGATGAGGATTAAAAACAAATCAAAAAAGTGGCAGAATGAGCACCTGGAATCTTCTAGATTCCAGTTTTTCTCCAGCATCAGTCTAGCAGCCCTAACCTTTACTTAAAATGAAGAACTGCCTCACAGTTATGAATTGTCCCCGAAACAACCTTACAGAGAAAAAACACACAAGTTTGGTTCAACCATTTTGCTAGCTGACTATAGAATGAAATGTTGAATTTGTTTCTTATATATCAAGAGGAGAACTGAAAGAAATTGTGTGGGGTTCGGTCCAGGAGAAAGATTTTATTAGGAAAACTAGAGATGATTTAATTGAACTACCAGAGACAAAAAATAAAAAATCAGTTATTGCAAAGCACTTTGTAACTAAATGTGGCATGAAATAGAAGGAAAGTGTTAGACACAAATAGTGTCAAGTTCATTGTTATAGCAAAATATAATAGGCATGGTATTCCCTTGAGAGGAATGTTTTTTATTTTGCAGGGCTTTTTACTTTTGTTTTATTTTGTTTTAATATAAATATAAATATCTCCCTAGAAATGTTGCAGCAGCTCCACCAGCAGCTGCTAGAAGCTGAGCGAAGGTCAATGACATACCTGAAACGATACAATAAGATCCAGGCAGACTACCACAACCTCATCGGAGTCACGGCAGAGCTGGTGGATTCTCTGGAGGCCACGGTCAGTGGCAAGATGGTAAGGAAGATCCCCAGCGATTCATGTCTTTTCACAAACCATGTTGATACGTGATTCCTGGACACTCTCAGATGTGACTCTGCCTCTCTGATTCACAAAGCCAGAGTGCACACAGGAGACCAGGCTGACCTACTATGCTGCTTACAGCATTTTATACATTTTTCCTGACACGTTATTGCTCATGTCTTTATTTCTCTACCTGATTCTTAATATCAGTAAAGAATGAATTGGCAACAGAAAAAGACTATGTAGTGGCATAGAAAGAAGAGGGCAGTGACCTTCTAGTAATAGGAAAGCTATAGATTTCACACGCTGATTTTGGATCCAGTTACCTTTCTGAACTCTGTTAATCTGATAGATTTTTTTTTTTAATTGATTCTCCTGTGTTCTAGGTTAGTAGTCATATCATCTTCAAATAATATTTTTGTTTTGCTTCTTTCATTATATATCTTTTTTCCTTCTTAGCATATTGTGGCTAAGACTGTGGGACATTCTTAAATAACAAGATCGTGGGTATCTTTGTCTATTCCTGATTTAATGGGAGTGACTCTAGTGTCATACTTAATAAAAATTAGAATAATAAAATCTCTGTGTGGTAATAAAAAAATTGTAAGTGGATGTAATTGGAGGTTCACATGCAATTTTAAGAAACAATGCAGAGAGAGTCCTTGTAGAGTTTCCCCCGTTGTAACATTTTGCAAAAGTATAGCATAATGTCTCAACTAGGCTATTAACACTGATACAATCCATTGCTCTTATTCTGATTGCCCTAGTTTGCTTGTGCATGCACGCATGTTTGTGTGTGTGTGTGTGTGTGTGTGTATTAAGCTTTATATAGTTATTTTTTTATTTTTAAATATTTTTTTTTATTTTTTTACAGAGAGGAAGGGAGAGGGATAGAGAGCTAGAAACATTGATGAGAGAAAAACATTGATCAGCTGCCTCTTGCACACCCCCTACTGAGGGTGTGCCCACAACCAACGTACCTGCCCTTGACCAGAATCAAATGTGAGACCCCTCAGTCCACAGGCCAACATTCTATCCACTGAGCCAAACTGGTTAGGGTGCTTTATATAGTTTTTATCACTAATGTAAGTTTGTGTATTAAAATTGTTTTTAACAACTTAAAATATGATTACAAAATATATATTGTAAAAATTTCAAAAATATAGAACTTTGCAAAATTAAATTACCTGTAATTGTGTCATTTAATAATAACACTTGTTAACAGCCCATGCTTTTTTCAATATTTATATACATGTTTTACAAAACTGGACTCTAGTTCACATAGGTTTCTAATTTACCTGGAAACAACCTAAATGTTTAATAGCCTAACCACTGGAAGTGAGGCACTGTGAAGAATATTTTATGATGTCATGAGCACATGACTGAATGAATATTAAGGCGGATTAGAAACCTATGCTAAGGTCCTTCAAGGAGGCCGTGCTAATCTGATAAACACTGAAACAGTTCATTCTCTTAACTTGTCAACCATGGGCATTATCAATAAAATGTTTATATTTTGTGAATTTGATCAATGAGAAATAGCACCTCGGGATTTAAATATGCATTACATTGATGACACATGAAATTAAACATTTTTATATACTTTAAAAATATGTACTTTTCTCGCCCTAGCTGGCTTGGCTCAGTGAATAGAGAGTCAGCCTGCCAAGTGAAGGGTCCCGTGTTTGATTCTGGCTTAGGGCATATGCCTGGGTATCGGGCTCAGCCCCCAGTAGGGGGCGTGCAGGAGGTAGCCAATCGATGTTTCTATCTCTCTCTCCCTCTCCCTCTCTCTGTCTAAAGTCAATAAAAACGTTTTTTGTTTTTTTTTTTTAAAAAAAGCAGGAAACAGTATCAGGAGTAAGGGGTTGATTCAAAGTCTCTAAGCCACAGAAAACTTTAGAAAACTAAAACTGAAAAGTATGCAATGTTTTTGACATTTGGAAGGACATTGGTGGTGCTTTACTGAGAGCTCATGAGTTAAAGCAAAATTTCCTCTCTGACCCTTAAAGAAGTCCGCTAGAGAGAGCTGTGACTGCCAGGCTGCCTCCGCTGTCTCTGGGTGGGTCTCATCCTTTGACCAGCCGAACTCAAATGTCTTTATAGATCACTCCTGAGTACCTGCAGAGCGTCTGCATTCGCCTCTTCAGTAACCAGATGCGGCAGAGCCTGGCGCACAGCGTGGACTTCACGAGGCCTGGGACGGTGAGGCTCTGTCCCCCTGATCTGCCCCATGACCCCAAAAAATATTGTAACTAGTCCTACTGGCGTGACTTCGAGGTTGAGCATCAACCTATGATCCAGGAGGTCATGGTTTGATCCTCAGTCAGGACATATGCCCAGGTTGCAGGCTTGATCCCTAGTGGGGAGTGTGCAGGAGGCAGCTGATCAATGATTCTCTCTCATCATTGATGTTTTATCTCTCTCTCCCTCTCCTTTCCTCTCTGAAATAAAAATATATATATATATATTAAAAAGATAATGTAACTAAAAAACTGAAAGAGCAGGATAAATAAACATTCAGAGGCTGCCCCTCAGCTGATATTGGGGTCTGTAAATTCCCAGGAGGAGAAGGCAGTTTTAAAGGAATGAACAGTTGGAAGACAGCCACCTGGGGAGAGGCGTGTTCTATTCTGCCCAGTGGCACTGCTAGTGGGTGCCAAGTGCTGGTACCAACAAGGGGAAAATATAGGCAGGAGTGTTTTTTTTAACTTTTTACTTGGAATAATTGCCAACACAGAAAAGTAGCAAAAATTGCACAAAAGACACTGGGTAGCCTTCATCCAGATTCAGCAGAGTTTATCCATTGGTTACTTTCTGTCCTTTACTTTCTGTCTCTACACAATCTGTTTTCTGAAGCATTTGAGGGCATGTACCATGGCCCTTTATTCCTAAATTCTTCAGTGCAGAGTATATTTCTTAATAGGAATATTGTCCTGTATAACATGTGATTATCAACCTCAGTAAATTTAATATTGATTCAATATTCTTCTCTAATCTGTGCATTTTCCAGCAGTGTGAGCTGAGCCATTCATGTCCCTTACAGCTTGCTGCCTATTGGAAGTCCAGGGCTATGCATTGCTGTCACATCTCTTAGCCTTCTTTACTCTTGAACATTTCTGCGGTGTGTTTGTTTTTTTTTTTACTTTCATGAAATGGAGATTTTAGGAGAATATAGTCCTTTCCCTTTTCTAAAAATATAACCTTTTGTGTTTGATGTTTCCTCGTGATTAGGTTGGGTTTGCATCCCAAGCCAAATACTACATAGGTGCCATCGTATCCTTCTTGGGCTGCTCATGTGGAGGCCTGTGCTGTGGAGTTGGGGTCCTAACCAGAGGAGCAAGTACTCTAGTCTAATCTCCCAGGGAAGTTTTCAAAGTTCATGAGCCCAGGTCCCTGGAGCTCACACCACCCTGCTGCCTGGTCCAGGGCTGAGTGGAAGCAGCCAGGTACATTGGATTAGGAAGGAGGAGCCAGGGGATCCTGAGGCATCCCATGGGTCAGAGCAATGACTTTCAATTAAGGGGTTTGCCCATTAATACTGGGGTCTTTATAAACATACTAGGGCCAGAGAAACCAAGATGGCAGCATAAGGTATACACCTGTATGTATAAGAAAAAGCTAAAGGAGTTCACCACCACCAAACCAGGATTATATGAAATGCTAAAGGGTATTCTTTAAGAAGAGAAAGAAGAAGAAAAAGGTAAAGATAAAAAGTATGAACAACAAAGTAACATTAAGTACATACCTGTCAACAAGTGAATCAAAAAATCAAGTGAATAAAAAATCTGATGAACAGAATAAACTGGTGAATATAATAGAATCAGGGGCATAGAAAGGGAGTGGACTGACAATTCTCGGGAAGAAAGGGGTGTGAGGAGTGCGGGAAGAGATTGGACAAAAATCTTACACCTATGGATGAAGACAGTGGCGAGAGGTAAGGGCATGGGGTGGATGGGGGAATCTGGAGGGGAGCTATGGGGGGAAAAAAGAGGAACACCTGTAATAATCTGAACAATAAAGATTTTTTTTTTTAAGAAATAATTGGAAACCCAGGATAAAACATTAAAAGAAATTCAGCTACCATTAAAAAAAAAAAATACTAGGGTCTTTTGTAGTATTAAAAAAATAATTTATTCCCACCTTGGCTGGTGGCACAATAGTTATAGCATCAGCCTACATAACGAAGGGTAACAGGCTTGGTTCCGAGCCCTGCTCCAGTTGCATGTGGGAGGTAACCAATCAATGTCTCTCTCTCATCTGAATGTTTCTCTCTCTAACTTTCCCTTCCACTCTCTAAAAAGCAATGGAAAAAATATCCCCAGGTGAGGATTAATAACAACAAAAATAATAATGATAATGATTCTAGGAAGGAAGGTGGGGGAAGGTGGGTGGGTGGGAACTCATCCACCAAAGAACTTGTATGCATATATGCATAACCTATTGACATGGACAATAGGCTGGTGAAGGCTTGGGGGTAGGGAGCAGGGATGGCCTGGAAGGGATCAATGGGGGGAAAAGGAAGGCATATGTAATACTTTCAACAATAAAGACTTAGCCCTAGTTGCTTTGGCTAAGTGGATAGAGCCTTGGCCTGCAGACTAGAAAGTCCTGGGTTCAATTCCGGTCAAGGGCACATGCCCAGGTTGTGGGCTCAATCCCCAGTAGGAGGCAGCCAGTCAATGGTTCTCGCTCATCATTGATGCTTCTATCTTTCCCTATCCCTTCCTCTGAAATCAATAAAAATATATTTTTAAAAAACAATAAAGATTTTAAAAACAGAAATAAAATAAATTTAAAAGAAAACAAAGATGAAAAAATGAGGACATATGTAATACTTCCAACAAAAATAATGATATTCTAATATATGTGTATGGTGTCAGATGGGTACAAGATTCATTGGGATAATCATTTAGTGAGTCATATAATTACTGGAGTGTACATCTGAAACCTCATTCTCAAGTAGGTTTGAAACAGATTATTATTATTATTATAACATTAAAAAACTCAAATATGAGACATGAAAAAAATAAATAAAAGTAAAGAAGTTGTGGTTAAAACTCATAGGAACAGAAAGTAGACTGGGGGTTTCCTGGGGCTGAGGGGTGGGGAAATGGGAGATGTTGGTCAAAGGGTAAAACCTTTGGTTATAAGATGAATAAATCTTGGGGTTCTAACGTATAGCATGGTGACTATAGTTAGAAATACTGTATTATATACTTGAAAGTTGCTAAGAGAGTAGATCTTAAATGTTCTCACCACAAGAAATAAAAGGTACCTGTGTGAGGTGATGGACATATTAACTAATCTTATGGTGGTAATCATTTCACAATGTATACACGTATCAGATCATCACACTGTACACCCGAAACTTACAGTGTTATACGTCGGTATCTCAATAATGCTGGAGGGGGGTGGGGGATAAATTGTGGTTAAAGGAAAATAAAGGTAGGAATAATAAAAGTAAACCAGGGCTGAGCTAGTACAAAAATGCATGTCATAAGTTGCTGTACATCTAGAGAGAGGCATATTTGGCTCTCAGGGCTTGTGCAAAAAGGGACATGTGAGCAGTTACGTGATTTATAATGAAGAGAAAACAGTTCTCTAATATTTATTATCCACTGTTTGCTGCATTAAGCAGCCTAGAAAGCACAATAGTAACGTGAATGCAGCCACAAGTTCCCCAAATAGACCATGTCAGCATCACTGAAGTTCCTAGGTGTCCTGCAGACAGTGAAAACTTTCCAAGTAGGTGTGTTACTATTGTAAATTAAAAACATTTTAAAATATTGTAAATTAAAAACATTTATTTTATTTTTTTTAAATATATTTTATTGATTTGTACAGAGAGGAAGGGAGAGAGAGTTAGAAACCTCGATGAGAGAGTCATCGATCAGCTGCCTCTTGCACACCCCCTACTGGGGATATGCCCGCAACCAAGGTACATGTCCCTGACCAGAATTGAACCCGGGACCCTTCAGTCCCCAAGCCGATGCTCTATCCATTGAGCCAAACTGGTCTCGGCTGTAAATTAAAAACATTTAAACAGAAGGTCGAACAAGTGGCTATTCTGGTGCTAAGACCTGAGAATGATTTCGCTTGTGAATCTTCATAGAAAGGACGTGATAATGAGGTGAAGAGCAGTGACCTTGACCATGTCCCGTGGGCGCGTGGGGAAGTGGCCTCGCAGGTCTGTGTCTAACAGGACCACCCCTTTCTTCCCTGCCTTCCATTTATCCATTCATTCCAGGTTTGTGGTATAGAATCCCATCCTTTCTCACATAGGCAGGAATGCCTGTATTTCCATTTTCTGGTGGTGGAGTGGTACACCAGCTTGTTTAAAACTGCTACCATGTTAATAAGGAGCAGTGTAAAGGGAGAAGGGCACAATATAGCTGCCACTTTATCCCATTAGAAGCTAACACGTGTCCGGACCTAGTCCTGCCCTCCTTCCTGTTAGGAGCCACGAAGGCACAGAGCCACAGCCTGAGAAGCCAGGGGAGAGAGGAAGAGGTCTGTTTACTTAGGCTCATAACCGTTTTCATTTTACTGGGCTACTCAGGAACAGACAATAAAAGCTGCAACAAATCTTTTATTGTTCCTAGTAAATTTATCTACAAGATGATAAAAAGTGGATCTGAGTCATGGTAAAAGTACCAGAGAACATCGTAGTTGATTAGGTGTGGCTAATGTTGTCACACATCAGATTTATAATATGTGAAGAGAAACTTAGGGTACAGTTTAAGATGGGATGTCTAGTGACTCAACTGATAGGATTTAGGATGGAAGGATAAGGTTGCTTTTCTTTTCTTTTTCTTTTTTCTTTTTAAGGGAATAAATTCTACTCTAGGTCCAAATAGTTTCATCAATTTCAAGACCAGTAGGCAGGCACAGACCAGCCTCTTTTATACCATATTTGGTCAGCATCTCCTTGGGTGCTGGGTCTATCCTGAGTGTTCCACATCATTGCACTCTGAAAAGGGGCTCGGCTGGGGCCCATCAGAAAACTGCTAGGCTCTATCAAGTTCAGCGCATTTGGTACCAGCTTCTGAATCTGGATTTAAAAAAATCTGGCCTTCTGCAACCTCATTCACTGCTGAAAATTCAAAAGGGCTCAGGAAATAGCACCTTCTCCACTAAGTTCTGCACCAATTGAAAAATAGGACAAAGAAAAAGGAAAAAGCTGAAAATATCTTTGTCAATACTTATAAAACTTATATTGGAGAATATGGATTTTATTTGTAGGCAGGTGGGTTTCCCTTTTTTCTTAAATATATATTTTTATTGATTTCAGAGAGGAAGGGAGAGGGAGAGAGAAATAGAAATATCAGTGATGTGAGAGAATCATCAATTGGCTGCCTCCTGCACATGCCCACTGGGGATGGAGCCCACAACCCAGGCATGTGCCCCTACCGGAATCAAATCTGGCACCCTTCAAGTCTGTAGGCTGACACTCTATCCACTGAGCCAAACTGTCTAGGGCTCCCCCTCCCCTACTTTTTTTTTTAATTAAAAATTATGAAGTTTTATTCAAGGGTCTTAGGATTTGCAAAATGAAAACATAGCATATTCCAAGGAAGAAAGAAAAAAGCTGAGAGTTTTAAAAAGCACACATTTGAGAATAGTCCTGCATTCTTAGTCCCAGATTAGTTATCTTAAGAGACACTTGCATCTCCAGCACAGGAACATCCTATCTAATAAAAGAGTATTTTGCAAATTAACCATCACTCCACAACAAAAATGGCGGCTTGCTGGGGTGTCTGGGCCTGTCCACCCAAGGGGGCGGATCCCACCTTCCTGACCCACCAGTGCTGCAGAGTCTGGGCCCCTCAGCCCCCTGCGGACCAAGCGGCGGTCAGACAGAGCCAGGACAGACTTGCAGGAACCAAGCGGTGAGCCTGTCAGCCCCGTGGGGGTTTGCACAGACCAAACGGAGAAGCTGGATCTGCCCCCAGACACGGCAGACAGAGCCCGGACAGCAGGGCTTGGGAGCTTTCGCAGGGTGATGACTGTGAAGCCAGGCCCGGCAGACAGAACCTGGACAGCAGGGCTTGGGGGCTTCCTTAGCACAGTGAAGCCTCAGGACCAGCAGACAGAGCCCAGACAGTAGAGTTTGGGGGCTTCCTTAGTAAGGTGGTGGCGGGAGCACCCCAGGCCCCACAGACAGAGCCAGGACAACAGGGCATGGGGACTTCCTTAGTGTGTTGGTGTTGGCGAAGCCCCCAGGTTTGGCAAACAGAGCACACTGCAGGGATTGGGGCTTCCTTCTCATGGCGTATGGCGGAGGCAGGCAGAGAGCAGGGCATGGGGGCTTCATCTCCATGGCTGAAGCGAAACCCCCAGACCCGCAGAGAGCAGAGAACCATGGGAGTGGGCCTAAGCCATCAGTAGGACATCCCCTGAGAGCTCCTGGATTGTAGAGAGTGCAGGTTGAGCTGAGGGACCCCCGTGCTTGAATTTCATGCACAGGGCCTCTAGTTATTGATATAATTCTTCAGAGGTGTATCAATGGTATTTAGGTAAATCTAGGAAACTGATGGTTCCCTACTTTTGAACCCTGGAATTAAAGAAACGTACCCACCCGTCATGCACAGCTCTGGCCAAGCCTCTTACCACCACCACCAGGAGCAGAGCTGCCCTGTGCTCTCTGAGCAGGCTCATGGCCTGGAGTGAGGGGGTCGGGAGGGAAGGGTGAGGGTCACACTGGTGGAGGCCCTATGGAGGAAATTCGCGAGTGGGAAGAAATGTGTTTCCGTTCTGCCTAGTTCATGTCCAGTTAACTGTGTTCAGCAGTCTGCTCGCGGTATTCGAGCTGGCAATCAGCTCCAGGTGCCCCAGAAGGACTGATAAGAATGGGATTGATTTTTTTTGAGACCAGAACTCTCCCAGGTGGCCTCTCCCAGTACAACCGCCTGTAACTACCCTGACCTCAGGCTTGTCATTTGGTCATCCTTACCAATCATCTGAGATCAGCCAGGGAAAGGAGTAAGAGGGAAACTTCTTCCTCAGGACACAGTCTCAGTTTTCTAAGATTACACAAGTGATACCAGAGTATGTGTGCGCTGGAAGATATAACAATGTAGTAGTAAATGGAGCAAAACACAAATCGCTTCCCTTCCTCACACTCACCACACCTCGCCTTCCTCTCTCAGTAACCTGTTGACTCCGTTTCACATGCATCCTTCCAGACCTTTAGAAATTAAATATAACTAGGGTTTTATTGCACATAGCATTCTGCAGCTGTCTCTTAACAGGGCCTTTTAAATCTTCCATATCCGCTTAGCATGTTTGTATTTCCCTTGCCTCCTAGTTTTAATTGGGAACAGTAGCACATTAATCATTATTCTAGCAGATATTTAGGCCGCTTTTTAATTGTTTGCTATTTCTAGTCTTGCAACATGCATCTTTATATGCTGCAAAAAGCATCTGAGAGCATCTTGCTCTGTCTTTCTCTTATTAGCCCCCAATCTGCCCTGGGCAAGCATGAATGCAGAAACAGTCTGAAGGTGATAATCTGAGTGTAGCCCCTGAGTGAATCCCAGTCCCACCGACTGGCACCTCTGGGTTTGTGGATTCATTGGAGGGGGAAGTTTCCATTTATGCATCCAGGGAAAAGGGCCCATTTGAGAATTAACTCTTCCTTTCTTCAGCAACTCCAAGTAGACTCATTGGAAATACAAGTTAAAATACTTCCAGGTGTGACAGCATTAAAGCCATTAAAGGCCCAGTGCATGTAGATCTTAGAAGGCATCTACCTCTGCCATCAGCCACCTTGGTTAGCAATGAACCCAGCGGGGGTTGCGGGGGATGGAGTGGCTCTTTTCCAGGACAGCCTGGTGCAGCTGCTCAGGGGTCTTCCTGAAGCTTCCATTGTGGGGACCGGGACTTTGGCTTGAAGGCCAACATCTTCAGTCTCTGGATTCTCCCTTACGTGCCTTTCTTAGCAAGGTGCCTGCCCTGGGCCCTCATCACCACTGCGTTTTGAGGCAGTCTTTTGGGGCCCGAGCTCTGATTGTCAGCGAGGGGTTGCACAGCTGGCTCCCTGTCCCTGCTACTCCTCATATACCGTGCTGTCCCGTACCTGTACTAACCTTGGTGACCCGAGGACTTGAACACCTTTGATCTCAACCAGTTGGTAGGGTGTAATTGCACAAAAGCTAATGGCATAGGGTGACTGTGCCATTAGCTTGGCTCTTTCCCTGATCGCTAAGCCCAGGCTCCGTACCTTCTCCCCATGAATGTCTGACAGGCAAGTCACATTGTCTCTGTCTAAATCCGAGCTCATCTTTTTCTTCCAACAAGTGGTCTCTCCCCACTGTGTTTCCTGTCTAGTGAATGATACTCTGGCAACCCCTGGGAACCATTCAAGGCCCTTCCCATCAAGTCCAAAATGCTCAGCACGGAGTCCGTGGCCGTCCCTGATCTGATGCCCATCTGGCCTCCAGGCTCAGCCCAGGTTCAGAAACCCCCTGAGCTCCAGCACCCCAGCTCCATCACTTCCCCGGGTGTGGGTGTAGCTGCATGTTGCTCTGTTTTTCTCTTATTAGCCCCCTTATTTGCAGCTGGCCCACAGGTCCCTGAAGCAGGTGCCCTGGATGACCTGGGGAGCCCGAGAGGCTCCTTCCCGAGAAGCTTCTGTGGAGCTTGGGAGCTCATTCGGGCGCTCGCCCACTCTCCACCTACTTAGCTCCATTTCCAAATCTCATTCGCAGCTTTCTGTGCCAGCCGCCCCCTCCTGCTCACACAACCCTGCATTTCACGTTGTGCGAGTCCCCCTTCTCATTACAGTGTTGGCCTTCCCCACGGGATGGGATGTTCCTCTGGTTCTCCACTTCCTTCCTGTGGCTAAGGCACATTTCCTCATGTGTCCCACTGAGATCTTTAACCTCCCCTGAGTAAACATTCCCCTTGAGGGCGCTTGCCAGATGACCTGCCTTTGCTGTTCCCCTGCTGTCTTTTAATTAAAAAAAAAAAAAAAAATCAAGGGTTAAAAATTTTTTAAACATATTATCATGAGCCGTTTAAAAGCAGGGCGTGGTGACTCCAGGGTGGGAACCTGCCTGTTGTGTAAATCCTGCGGCGAAGCAACAGATAAACCAGTGGAGACACCAGTGCAGGATTCTGAGTGCCCACGTCAGAAGTCAGTCTGTTCACTCCCTCATACAACACATGTCGGTGAGTGCCTCTGTGTGTCCAAGCACTGTTCCCGGTGCTGGGACACGAGGGTGCTGAACCGCCAGCAGCTTTGGCACCAATGTCTGCTGAAAGAGAGACACCGAAGTGTTGCAAGATAATCACAAATCAACATGAGAAGCGTGGGTGATGACCATTCGACATATGAGGCCCCACAGATGGCTGAGATTTCCTCTCTTTGCCTCTACTTCATGTTTCCTGGAGTTCTTTAAAATCTATCGCCAACATATCATTTCACCCGCAGAGAAGTCAGTATTTCTAACAGAGAAGGGCTTTGAAAAGCAAACCAGATTATAACCACAATGTCTCATACAATAAGCACCGGTCCCCTAGCATCATGTAATACCAGTGCACTCTGTTCTATTTTCTCAAAATATCGTTTTGCATTTGGTTTGAGTCAGTTCATACAAGTGCCACCCAAAGCATTGGTTTATTTCTATTTTAGTATATGTTTAATATAGCATTGTGTGTAGTGGCCAAAAGGGAGGGGGGACACGCAATGTGGATACCAATAAAGCGGGCGATGATCTAGATTACAGAGGAGTGGGATGGGAGGGGATTATTTATCTTTTTCTACAAACACCTCTATATTTCTATAAGCACTTCTATAGTGTTTGACTTGGTACGAAGTGGCAATGTGTTCTTTTTATACTCAAAGATAACATTTTAATAAAGAAAAAAACAAGGTAATTAAATGATTTTTATGGCTTCGTCCTCTCTTTTGTCTTTGACCTGGCAGCTTTAGTACCTCTGGGAGTTTGGTCAGGAGAACCCACCTGGGATTTTATAGGTTGTTCCTGGGAGTGGAGTAGCCCCAAACCAAGGGGTGGATGGCTTGGGAAATGCATTAGTAGTGTATTGATTAACTTCGACTTGGGCTAATTTTTAAAATATATGATTCTGGTTGGAGAATCCTGGTAGACCAGAAACTTTGCAGATCTGTAGGTTTTGTGCTGTTACAGTAATTCAGGGTCAATGCACAGCCATCAGTGAGTAACACGGTCTGTTCTTTTTTGTTCCCTCGCCCCCACCCTCCCAGGCTTCAACCATGTTAAGAGCCTCCTTGGCACCCATGTGAGTAATTGCTCTTAGAAATTGTTATTGTGGAATAGCTGTGGGTAAATTGGATTTCCAAGTAACTTTAATAAATGCTCATCTGAACAGCTGAGCTCCATGTGGATAGTAAAGGAAATACCAGTAATTATAAGTAATAGTATTAAGCCAGAAGTGTCTTTTAATCTTAATTGTATTTGTTTTGGTGAGGTAACCTCAAATAGAAAAGCTTGTTATAGAAACTATAGGATAGTTTCTATAATATTCTCTAGAAATCGATTTAATTTACTGTCACCAGGCAGTCAGCAGAGAGTTACAATGTCTAAATTTTGTGTTCTCTGTCGACGGGCCGCAGATAGCATTGTGTGAGCCTGAGCATTTCTATCCAGATCTATTGTGTTGTCACCGTGGGGGTGTCTGACGCACGGGACCTTCACCAGGCATGTGTTTTGAACATCCCCTTTGCCCTCTCTTTCTCTTTGAACGTGTGTTGCTGAGTAGGAAACTGAAGGATGTCCCACTGCTGCCCTCCTTGGATTATGAGAAACTGAAGAGGGATTTGATTTTGGGGAGCGACCGCTTGAAAGCTTTCTTGCTGCAGGCTCTGCGCTGGGTACGTATCTTGTATCTTTCCCGCGAAGCTGAGAAAAAGACTGCTGGCTTATCGGGCTGCTACCTTGCTCGCATCTTTTAGCCCATCTACTGAGACCTTCCTTCCTGCTGCCTGCTAACACCCGAGCTAAAGTGAAAACAGCTCCTGAAGTATAGCCTGGCCTCTCTGTAAAAACTCCTACACTGGCCTCACTGTGGCCGTTGCCTTTCTGAGGCCGTTTCTCACAAGCAGTTCTAGGCCCAGGGGACTTCCTGTCACCCAGCCCCTTCCTGGTTGAGTCACACTGACAGCTGGTGGGGTCAGCCTGGTTCTCACAAAGCCCCCGGTGTTCACGGCCACACGAGCAGGCCTCAGGGTGAAAACTACTCCCATTCCTGTGAGGGAAATAGAGTCTAACTTGTTGCTTCTCTCCCCGCTCGGCATGTCAATCATGGGTAAGACAGTGGTCCTCAAGCTCTTTGCTCTCAGACCCCTTTACTCTCTCAGAAATTACTCAGGACCCCAAAGAGCTTTAGTTTACGTGAATTTTATTTACCAATACTTACAGTGTTAGAAATTAAAACTGAGAAATTATAAAATGTATACTTATCAATCATTTAAGATGAACAATGATAAACCCAGGCTATAGCAACCTATTTTTTTTTTTTTAATTTTCTTCCAAAGCAAAAATAAATAAATAAATAAATAAATAAATAAAATTAGAAGAGCAGCATTGTTTTATAGTTTTGCAAAATTCTTTTGTCTGGCTTCGTGAAGGACAGCTGGATTCTCATATTTGCTTCTGCATTTGATTTGTCACAGTAACACTTCACATAGCCTCTGAGAGACTGTGGGTGAAAACAACATTATGCTTAGTAGTAGAATGAAAACAGTGGTGACCATATAGACTCCCCAAAAGGCCTTCGGAACCCTAGGTTCCCCAGACTACACTTTGAGAAGTGTAGATCTAAGCTAACACTGGTTAGCTGCTGAACTGGACGATGCATTCTAACTCACCCTGGAATAATGTCAAACTCCTTCACGGGCCCCCGAATTTCAGCATGCCTTGGCATCAGAAGGCCTTTGAGCAGTTTCCCCATCTGGATAGAAAAAGGTCTGTCTCCTCTCTCGCACGTCCAAGGCCTGCGTGCTTCCTGGGACAAGGTCTGGAGTGCTCCGCAGAGGCGCCAGGAGCAGCAGGAGGAGTCCTGTGTCAGTCGCGATGTCTGCTCATCTGCTGTGTTTGCGGGAGCTGACCAGATGGGTGTGGCGGCATGATTCATCTCTGGTGGCCATCCCGGCCCCATGTTTGCCTCTCTGCTCAGGGGAGCAAACTCATCTTGTCTTTGGCTCTTCCAATCAGTCGGTGCTCCTGAGCCTCTTGGTGAGACAGGATGTTCCAGAAAAGATAAACAGGTGTCTTGAGTTTTGTCTGTGCCCCCTCCAGCATCTCTACTCCAGCCCCGTGCCCCTCATCCCACCCAGTGCCCCAGGCCTGACCTCAGTGAACTGGACAGAAGGGTGGCACCCACAGATGGGGCACGCCTGGCACCACCTCCTTTAACCTAGTCCTCTCCCCGGTTGGGCCTCCCTCCTTGGCTATGTTGGCCCAGTCTCTCAGTGACACCAGCCTCCGCCTTTCAGTTCTGGGGGCTTGTCTTTTACACGGCAGCTTGACCTCCGCCAGAGCAGGGCCTGCAGTCTCAGGGATCATCTAGTAAGATTTTCCTTCAAAAGTAAGGACATTTGCTCATGTTAGACATGTGGTTTTCTTATATCCTAAACTCATGCCAATCCACAAGCATGCACCATTTCCCATGCTCCATTTTCCTTCTAGCCCTGCAGGCAGTAAGGAAATTCTAACTTAAAACAGCACGATTTAGGCTTTTCAGAATCTACAAAATTCTACCTAACCACCCTTACACACACACACACACACACACACACACACAGTATTGCTGTGTCAGTCCTAATAAAATCTATTTTGTTGGTATGGCTTTCATTTTGAGCCCTCTACAACTTCCCCTGTGCCCACCCCTGTACTTCCCCTCTGCCCTAAGCTGGCCCACACTCTCCCCACCACACTCACATCCTCTGTGCTGGCTGACAGTCTGCTCACCCTTCAGAGACCAACTCTTGAACCCCTTCCTGAAAAAAAAAAATCCTCTCCAGGCATTGGTGAGTGCTCTCTTATCTGTACATGCACAATCCAGACATTTTCTCACTTCCCTGAAAATGTCACATGTGTAGGTTAACTCCTACATCTCCCATATCATCCACTTAAAAGTACATCATAATTTCTTTTTTTTTAAACATATTTTATTGATTTTTTTACAGAGAGGAAGGGAATGAGATAGAGAGCTAGAAACGTCGATGAGAGAGAAACATCGACCAGCTGCCTCTTGCACACCCCCTACCGGGGATGTGCCCGCAACCAACATACATGCCCTTGACCGGAATCGAACCTGGGACCCTTCAGTCCACAGACCAACGCTCTACCGCTGAGCCAAACCGGTTTCGGTACATCATAATTTCTTATTAGTGGATAGGTTGGCTGCTTACCTCGCTCTGCAGGATGTTACTTATTCTGTTTAGTTAAATGCTTAGTTACTGGGACTGCCGTTTAAAACATACCCACTCTGCAGACATTTTCCTCCACAGTCAGACTTGTTACTTTTGCTTCTCTTTGTTCAGCGCTTGACCACATCCCTTCCAGGAGAGCAGAGGGAGACCGTGCTGCAAGCCTACATCAGCAATGACCTCTTGGACTGCCATGGCCACAGCCAGGTGGGTGAGCGATGGGCCGGGGCCCAGCGGGGCCTTCGTTCCTCGGGAATGGTCCTAGCTGTTGGGGAGATGTCCATTTCTGCATGTTTCAACCTGGTGACTGTGTCAGCCTGAGCTCCTAAGCTCTGCTCTTCACCCTGGATGTCAGCCCCCTCTTCACGTCTGATGAAGAGTTTTAAGAAGTTAGAACTGCTGGATTCAGCTATGGAGCTCTGTTCTGCCATGTTTCCTCTTCTCAAATTCCCAAGTCTTTTCCTCACCCTAGTTTATCTTGAGCCCTGAAATCTCAGCATGATTTATGATCGGCAAGGTAGGTAAGCAAATTCAGTGTTTCTTCTTTCTTTTTTATTTTGGAGATATGTTTTTATTGATTTTTACACAGAGAGAGGAAGGCTGAAGAAGAGAGAGAAACATGGGTTGTCTTTCGTACATGCCCCAAACAGGGATTGAACCTGCTACCTAAGTTTGTGCCCTGACCGGGAATCAAACTCACAACCATTTGGTGTATGGGATAATGCTCCAACTAAGTCAGCCACCGGCCAGGGTGCAAATTCAGTGTTTTTTCACCTGGGCCTGCCTTAAAATGTGTCCAACACCATATTTGTATATATAATAGCTCTGGGCCAGCTTGTTCTAGTGGGAAAATGTAGGATTTGGAGTGAGATGAACTAGTTCCAGACCTCTGCCCTACCCCATACCCCCTATGACATACCTTTCATGGGGTGTACTTGGGTTCACTGGGCACTTAGCCAGCCCTTTCAGTCTGACAGCTTTAGTTCTGGGAACTTTCCTGAGTTATTTTGTAGCTGAGTCCTTCGGTTCTCTCTCTGTCTCTCTTTGAGTGTCGGACCTCCTCTTGAACTAATTCTCTCTCTTTTTTTTTTTTTTTTTATCTTCTGTCTCATATTTTCCTTTTTTTTTTTTTTTTTAACTCCACTTTCTGGGAGATTTTTTTATCTTTATTTTCCAACCACTCTGTTGAGATTTTCATTTCCTTTTTTATAGAATTCTTTTGTTTTGTAGGTAACATTAACTCCTGATACCTTTAAGTATTATTAGTGACATCTTTTTGTTTACATTTTGTTTTCTTATCCCTGCCTAGTCTCATTTCTTCTAAGTTTGTTCCACTAACCCCTTCCCCCTGTTTATCTTGGCCCTATTTTCCATGTTAGAAACTTGGACTTCTGGTAGACCTTGGTTATCTCCTAATGCTTAGAGTGGAGGACTGAAAAGCCTATTGGGAATTCTGATTGTGAGGGCAGGGACTGTAGACAGAGACTCCCACTGGGAGTGAGCCAGGTGGGCCATGCGTCAGGGGCGCTGACTTCAGGACTGTAGTTCTTTCTCTTGGGCCAGGCATTTTCCTCCAAGAAGAGTTTTCTGGTCTTCCTCCTAAAGGGAAGGGTCTGGTTCCCAATGTTCTGGGAGCCAGGTAGGGGAAGAGGACTGGGTGTGGCTCTTTAGACCCCCTTTTTGGTGTAGAAGCCCTTCTCACCTGGGCTGGTGTCCCCCATCCAGAAACTCTTGTTACCATAACAAGAGAGCACCCGACCTCTGGTGAGAGGAGGACAGCATGAGCTGCTTCTTTAACAGCTTTCATTCATTCATAATTATTTTCTCACATCTTGAGCCTTTGAGGATTAAGTGATGTAAGTGAGGTTACCTTCCCTTTTTTAAAAAAAATATATTTTATTGATTTTTCACAGAGAGGAAGGAAAAGGGACAGAGAGCTAGAAACGTCGATGAGAGAGAAACATCGACCAGCTGCCTCCTGCACACCCCCCTCTGGGGATGTGCCCACAACCAATGAACATGCCCTTGACCGGAATCGAACCTAGGACCCTACAGTCCGCAGACCAACGCTCTATCCATTGAGCCAAACTGGTTTTGGCGGGGTTACCTTCTTATTGCCCACATAGCATTCTTGAGTCTACTAAGTCTTTCCGTCTATATTCCCACTTCCAAAATTGTGTTGTTGTAATTTCTTTTGCTGTTCTCTCAGATCTTGAGAATTTGTGTCATTCTTTAAAATCCATTTACTATAGTTTTACTGTGGCTTCAGGGAACCAAACTAGAAGTGTGTGTTTGATCTGTCATCCTAACCTGGAAAAAAATATCAAAATAAGAGAAAACCGTATATTGCTGGCTTTGTATCAATCATTTTTTAAATAAATTTTTTCATTTTTCAATTATAGTTGACATGCGGTATTATATTAATTTCAGGTATACAACATAGTGGTTAGACATTTATATAACTTTGGAAGTGATCACCCTGATAAGTTGAGGACCCATCATATAATTCTTTTAATTTAAAAGTTTAAATGACTGGTATTCATCAGATCTCAGGAAAAATCAGTTGGCCATCAAGATTTCCAGACGAACTCTTTGGCTTTAGCCTGTTTATCTCACTTGTAATAAATTTGTGCAGAGTAAGGCAACAGCGGCCCCACGGAGGAGCCACGGTTGTCTCTCCCGGTCTCTGATTCCCTTGTCCCTGCCTCTCTGCTGCCCCCAGAGGAGCGTGCTGCAGCTGCTGCACGGGAGGAGCGACGTGGTGCGCCAGTACATGGCCAGGCTCATCAACGCCATCGCGTCCCTGGCAGAAGGTGAGACTCCAGCTTTTCTTCAAAGAGAAGAGCTAGGCCTTACTGATGCATTTTTTCCCTTTAAAAATGGACGTTCTTCTCCAACTTTTTTAGAGATGATGTATGTATGTTTCCTCAATTTATGCCTGTTTAATGCATATAAGGTTTTTTGTGAAAATTGGATGTTGTCATATTGCTGTACTTTATGCCAGAGCAAATTTTGACGGTTTTGGAGTTTCTTTTGTAAGCCTTCTGGCTTTACTTTATAAGCTTCCTGGTCTTATAACTGTACATTTTGGATTGCCTTCAGTTATATAATAGATAATACATTTTCTATAATTTTCTATGTCAGTATATTAAGGCTGGTGACACAATTAATGCTGATCCCAATAATTGCATCATTTCCTGCAAAAGGCTAGAAGGTTTAAAAGTTCCAAAGATAGCATGCCAGTGTGACTGAATTCAAATGATTTTACAAAGTGTCGTTATCTTCCAAGTTTAAGTTGAGCTCTTTTGAGAGTGAATAAAGGGAGTTTCAAATTATGACTATAAGATACTCCAAAAATGTGTCCCTTCATTTATTTGTACATTTTCAGCTGTTTAGTAAACAGTTATCATAAGCCAGGGTATGTGCCAGGGACCAATTATATAATACTGTTGAAATTTATGTCCAAAATTAGCATTTCTATCAAGCCACGAGCCCACAACAGGCTAGTGATAATTCAAGCCCTACTCTAGGGTTCCAGGCCTGGTCCCCAACCTCCCTGGGCCATGGGCACGTCCAGAAGGAGCAAGGGGTGTGGCCAGAAAGCACTGCTGATGGATTCATGACCCACAGGTTTCCCTCCCCGTTCTTCTCCTCGATCTGACTTTCGGGTTCACGATTTCAGGTGAACAAAGGACAATGCTCCCCACAAGAACACAGTGGTAAATTAGGTTTAGATTACAAGAAAGCGTTTTCTATTACTTGATAGTTGGTTGACTAAAACCAGTTTTGCAGAAGAGACCCAATGCACAAAATTCGTGCAGGAGTAGGCCTTCCTTCCCCCAGCTGCCAGCACCGGCTTCCCTTTGGCTCCCGGGACCTGGGCTTCCCTCGCAGCCCCAGCTTTGTCCAGAAGGTCATCCCGAAGGACATCTGGTCTAATTAGCATATTACACTTTTATTTTTATAGATAGGTTTTTTAGAATCTAAAATTATATAAGCTCTGCATGTGCTAAAGGCAAAGGTTTCATAGAAAGTGGTTTTGGAGCATGAACTTAACACAAGAGCAGTCTTCCCTCTTTTACTTGTTCATCTCTGGTTGTGTTACCAGGTCGTCTCTACCTTGCCCAGAGCACAAAGGTGCTGCGGATGCTGGAGGAGAGGCTGAAGGAGGAAGACAAGGACGTCATCACCAGGGAAAATGTGCTCGGGGCCTTGCAGAAGTTCAGTCTCAGGTGCTGACCATGCAGCAGGTCACAGCAGCTCCTGCAAAATCAAAGTGGGGTTTTCAGAAGCCGCTGTTTTGTGTTTATTTAGCCCAATGACACCCCAAAAGGCAGATGACATTTTTCAGCTAACATCTAGGCAGCTCACCTCAAATGTGATGGAGGAAGATGATTTAAAAGAGCTATTGTAGCCTGCTAGTGAGCATGATTATGTCTCAGCTTCACAGATCCTCAGCCTTCCCATGGTGACAGTCTTGTGTCCCACGATGAATAGTCACAGCAGGTGGGCGAGGCGCTCCAGGACCTTGTCCACGTGTCCCAGAAGCACACCCTGGCGTCTCAGCCCTGACACTGTTGTGACTTAGAACTGCTCCGCATTAGAAATTTAAAGTCAGACACCCCTTCTTTAGCCAGGTCTGGTGTCCTCACAGCTTTCTTTTTTAATCCCTAGCTTTATTGAGGTGTGCTTTACATACCACCAAATTCACCCATTTTAAGTGTACAGTTCAGTGATTTTTAGTATATTACAGAGTTGTACAGCCATCACCATAGTCTAATTTTAGAACATTCACATCACCACAGAAGGAGCTTCATGCCTGTTTACAGTCATTCCTAAGTCCGACCCTGAGCCCAGGTACCCACAACTCTGCTTCCTGTAGACTTCCCTGTCCTGGATGTTTGATTAACTGGAATCAGATAAGGTGGCTCCTTTGTGACTGGCTTTTTCCACTTAGCACAGTGTTTTTGAGGTTCATCCATGTTATATAGCATGTGTTGTGCTTTGTTCCTTTGTATTGCTGAATGGCATTCTATTATGTGGAGAGACCACAATCCTCAGTGAGTGGATATTTGGGGTTCTTTCCACTTTGGGCTATTATGCAAGATGCCCCTGTGAACTTTGCATACAAGTCTTTTTATACAATATATTTTGGTTTTTTAAAATTGATTTCAGAGAGGAAGGGAAATGGAGAGAGAGAGAGAGAGAGAGAGAGAGAAGAGAGAGAAAGAGAGAGAGAGAAACATCAATAATGAGAGAGAATTATTGATCAGCTGCCTCCTGCATGCCCCCTACTGGGGATTGAGCCCACAACCTGGGCATGTGCCCAGGACCCTTCAGGCTGACACTGTATCCACTGAGCAAACCAGCTAGGGAGCATACGGGTCTTTGTGTGGCCATGCTTTCATTTCTCCTGGATAGGTATCTAGGAGTGGAATTGCTGGATCCTAAGCTGATTCTTCCAGCATCCACAGTCCCTCATGACCACCTTGCTTTCTCTTTGATTTTATTAAGAATTCTATTACCTCGAGTCCTCAACCTTTCCTGAACACACTTCCTTCCCATCAGTGTGAGTGACCTGCCAGTCTGCCAAATGACAATCTACGTGTGTGTATGCTTAGTGGGAAAAAGTGGCACGTAATCAGCTCTTGCTTTTTGCCAGGTTCCTGCCAATGAAAATTTCTTATCCTGACTCTATGAATTGAAAAGAACTGTGAATAATCTCCAGAGTTATTACTTCCTCAGATCACATAAACACTTCATTTCTGTTTGTTTAAAAAGATAATAGCCAACTGGAAAATTTTTAGAAATTCAATAGCTTAGTTAAATAACAGCTAAGATAAGGGGAAGAAATACTTCCGCCTGGCAATGCAAATATTTACTTACAATTTTTCCTTTTCCTCCAAACAGTCATTTGAGCTTTTTGTTCTGAAAACATGCTAATGTTTTCCATGGTCTCTACAATGAAGGTAGAAAGTAGCTAGGCTTACCAGGAGTGTGTGTCCTCACTGTATGCTCCTAACAGTCACCCGTGGGTGCGAAGACCAGCACGAGCAGGTGCCATCCACTGGCAGTCTCACCATGACCTGTCCCTCAGGAGATGCACAGCATTGCTTAGATTTTCAGAGAATTCAGACAACTTCTCATGGTGGTATCAGGCTCAGGGTTATCAGTTCTTAAGGCCTGCGTGCTGATAGGCACCATGGCACATTCCGATGAGGCACTGCATTTTGTAAGCTGTGACATCTGGACTTTGGGGGGAATATAGTTCTGTGTAAATTGTATTATCCAGGTCACTAAGTCATCCTTACTCTGTAGAGATCTGAATCAAAATGGTATTGAGCTGGGCTTTTTTGTTTTGTTTTGTTTTGGTTTGGTTTTTTTGTTTGTTTGTTTTTGCTTCTCTCTTATGTTTTCTTTATTTTTTCACAGAGCAGAATGCCTAAGTTAGATGACAGTAGACTGGAGTTCAGTAAATATTTGTTTGTCAGTGAACTATTTCTATGGCTCTGCTTCCTGGGTTAAGTAGACCAAAAACTATCAATAAATATTTTAAATATTGGAAAGGAATTCAAAGTAGGAGGCCTCCTTACTACCTTATCTTTCTTTAAACTCTTTTTTTTTTTTAAAGTATTTTATTGATTTTGTACAGAGAGGAAGGGAGAGAGATAGAGAGTTAGAAACATCGATGAGAGAGAGTCATTGATCAGCTGCCTCTTGCACACCCCCTACTGGGGATATGCCCGCAACCAAGGTACATGCCCTTGACCGGAATCGAACCCGGGACCCTTCAGTCCCCAAGCCGACGTTCTATCCATTGAGCCAAACCGGTTTCGGCCTTTCTTTAAACTCTTAATCATACCCATGAAAGGTAAAGAATTTGTTGTTTCAGTTGTATGGGTCTGACAGTGAAATATTCCTCCACATCAGTATCTCGTGCACTTGTTCTTCTCTGACATGCCTTGCTGTTGCTGTGTCCTCCTATATGAAGTTTCTCACCAGCATGAATTGACCTGTGGGCTGTTTCCCCCAGGCGCCCGCTGCAGACAGCCATGATTCAGGATGGCCTCATCTTCTGGCTGATCGACATTCTGAAGGAGCCCGATTGCCTGTCCGACTACACGCTGGAGTACTCGGTGGCCCTGCTCATGAACCTCTGCCTCCGGAGTGCAGGTCTCACAGCCTCCCAGCCCAGGCCCCGGCTCCAGGCCCCAGCCCAGGCTCTGGTGTGTGGGAGGGGAGAGGTCCTGACCCTCGAATCTGATGACCCAGTAGCCTGTCATGGCTTCCTCTAGTCTCCCTTGTAGAAAACCAGAGACAGGAGGAGTGTAAAGCATTTCCAACTGGGTATCAAGGTGTGAATCCCTGAAGCCAAAATACCAGTCTGGCCTTGGAAAGAATGTTTTATAGCTATATAGAAATTTCCAAATACGTATATAACCACCTATATGCAATATGTATATGTAGTAGCTGCATTAAGAGGGAATTAAATTAATTCATGTTTTTCTTCATCTTCATTGCGTGACTCAAAGGTAGGAGGTTAAGAATTAGAATCCCTTCTGTCTGAAGGCAGAGAAGCATGTTCCCAAGATTGTACAGGATTAAGTTGGTGGCCTAGCCTGCTGCCTGCCCTTAATCACAGGTCGTTCGGGTACTTGATCAATAAAGGTAATGATGTCAGCTTTCTACAGGCTCCGTCCCACTTAAGCGATGTGTTCCCTGTGGTGAAAGAAGCTTCCTTAAAAGAGGTGCCAAGGCCAGCCTGAGGCTGAGCTCCGCTGAGCAGCCCAGTGTTGGCAGGTGGCGTGGCTACGTGGCTCAGGGCTGTTTGTAAGCAGCTCCTTCGCCCTCGGATGCTTTGTGAGCTGAGGCACGGTGTTGCTGACTGAGTAAATGACTGCTTCAGTCTTCTGTTTTAAAACTAGCCTGTGCTCAAAGTCAGAGCCTCTAACCATTACTAGTTTATAGTCAGCTTTTCTCACTACCCTTGGTTTATCTGCAGTGAGTGTTTGGGTGACCTGTGTGATTTTGATGGTGATGGTCTGTGTGAGGCAGAATTTCACTGTGATGAAGAGCTTGTGCTCTGCCTGAAGGAAAATAACCCCATTTGCTGAGCACAGGGGTTGCCAGTCTATTCCTGTACTTCGTTCCACGTCATCCTTTGAGGTAGATATTAATGGTCTGCGGATCCCAGAGGAAGAAATTGGGCCCAGGTTGGTTAAGTGACTGACCCAAGGTGACACAGCTCATAAGCAGAGACTGACCTGGAACTGTGCTTCTGAGTTTAGACACGTCATGTTTGTTTTGTTTTGTTTTCTTAAGGGAAGAACATGTGTGCCTCGGTGGCAGGCCTCGTGCTGAAAGTCCTTTCGGATCTGCTGGGCCATGAAAACCACGAGGTACTCAGCCACCAGGGCTTGGGAGGGCTGGCCGAGGACACTTACCACACTCTCCCTGCTGAGAGTATTTGTATAAGCTGCTTCAGAGCGTTCGTAATTTCTGAATTCTAGACTCAGGAGCAGGAAGTCTTCCCGCCACGCCTCCCTTATTGGCACACCACCAGCACCGGCCTGTGCGGCTGCCTCCTCAGTTATTTTTCTCCTTGTCTTCCATGGTGCTTCATTCCCCGCATGGTGATTTTCCTCTATTGTGATTAACATGTGTCTGTGGACATGTAGGTAGTCTGAAAATGCATTAATGTTATATGTGTTTATTTTATATAAATAGTGTTGCAGTCTAGATCTCATTACTTTCCTTACATTTTCCGTGTTTTCGGGACCTTTCTGTGTTGCTCTGTACACATCTCTGATGAACAGCTCTCACTACTGCAATATGGGCTTCCATTCACAGCCCTCCCACTTTCCCTGCCCCTTCCCCAAGGTGCCCCCTCCCCAGGGTGCCTGCTCCCCAGGTCTGCCCACTTTGGTTGCCTCCAACTCTTGCCACCTGTTAAGTGCACCTCTGTGAGTAAAACAGGAGAAACAAGTATAAATCTCAACTACACCGGCTCCAGTCCAGTGGTGGAGGCACGTGAGGGGCAGAGCAGAGCCTCTGAGCTGGTGTGAGAGGAGGAGTCATAGTTTTTTAGTGGGGAGTGCACCCAGCAAAGTGAACTATTAGAACTGGGGCTCAGGCACAGGCATGTCTCAACGAGATGAGGGCGTCCCCTACACAGTGTGGACTCTGCAGTGTGCACTTCATGGCGGCAGGGAGGGTGGCGATAGAAGCCAAATCCTGAAGGGTACTGCGTGCTGCACTAAGGAGGTGAGAAGGCCGAGGGCCCAGGCAGACTGTGGCCGGTGGCCGAGGTAGGGAGAGCGGGGATTTGGGCAGTGGTGTGACAGTTGGATTAAAGGATGCGAATTAAAGGTAGAGACTCGTTTGGAGTTTGATGTAGCCTAGATCATGGACATGTTGTCTGAACAAGGACAGTAGCATGCGGGTGGGAAAGGGGTTCCCATCAAAGACAGTGTGGGGACTCCACAAAGGAGAGTAAAAACAGAGAGGAATCGGTGATGACTCTTGAGTTGCCAGCCTGGATGACCAATGGCTGATTCTGAACTCTTCGTTACAGCTGTCACGGGGACATGCAAATGGAGAACATCTGTCATTTGGAGACACTCACCGTCCTCATCAGCCAGAGGGTCTCAACTGTGCTGTTTGATAATTGCGTTGTATAGTATGTGAGAACTTGCAAATGACTGTTTTTTTCTCCCCTTAAAGATACAGCCGTATGTGAATGGAGCGCTGTACAGCATCCTCTCTATCCCGTCCGTTCGTGAGGAAGCGAGAGCGATGGTAAGAAACACTCTGAGACCTGTCCGCTTCTGTCAGTGCCACTGTCACTGTGAGAGCAAGGGCTTCCTGGGCCAGCCCCACTGAGGGCTCTTAGATAGTTCATGAACCCCCAGAATTGTACACTAGATACATCAGGATGTCCCCCAAAGTGGACACACACTTTAACAGCCGATGGTTCAATTTTGAAAATGAAATGTATTTGAATAAACACAGCCTTTATCATTTCCCAGAGTGTGTGTATACATTTTTCTGGGACACCCTATATTTGCAGTTATTTTATGAAAGTCTGTAGCTTTTATCAGATTCTCAAGGGATCCCTTCAGTGATTAAGAACCACAGTGTTAAAAACTTTCCAGCAGGTTTATTTTTGGAAAGTTATCGACATTCTTTTTTAAATTTAAATGACTCATGTAAATTTGGGGCTTGGGGGATGCGTATGGATTTCGTAGTAGCAGAAGCTTAGCAGGAGAATGGTGAGATGGAGAAAACATCACTCAGATTCACCTGCAGGATTCCTGGAGGAGTCATGGCAGCCTGAGAATTGGTACAATCAAAACTCTCTGAATCTGCAGACATTCTAGAGCAGCCTAATGGACAGAAAGGCTGGAGAAGATGGCATACAGCCGGACTTGTCTTGATTGCTAAACCGTGAATTCAGTTTTTACTGTGTCTACGTTAGTGCTTGTATTCAAAGTATACAACAAGCCACAGGTGGTTAGTGTCATGTCTGGCGATGACAGATGTATTTAGATCTGATCCCCCAAACCTTGGAGTTTTGTCCCTGGGATGGGATAGAGAGTGTGAAACCCCGTTAACAGTGTGCTTATTAAATGCTGTGATAGTCCAGCTGTCATGGTTCAGTGGTTGAGCATCGGCCTGTGAACCGAGAGGTTGTGGTTCGATTCCCTGTCAGGGCACATGCAGGCTTGACCCCCAGTATGGCGCCAACAAGACATGGCCTTCCACTTTGTTTTGCTTACTTAGAAGAATTGTTCAATTTCTAGTTGGTCATCTAAATTACACCATCAGTTAGACCAGAGATAACAACTCGTTTAGCTGTTCTGTGTGGTTGCAGTCAACAGTGGGCCTTAATTGTCTACTGCTTTTAAATTAAAAATTTGTTTAATTTTTTTAAGAACAGGGGAGAATAAAAGTGATTAAATTCTGCATTATAGTCATTCAGGTGGGAGAGAGGAATTGTCAGCCAACCAGGGCACAAGGAACAAAACCTGGGCTGCAGAGAAAGAAAGAATGGAGGCGACATGGAATTAAAAGGGTGAAAGGCAGCATGGAGGAAAGACCTGCAGGGTGGAGAAGGCAGAGGGGATGGCAGTGAAGGGACAGGGACCAAGCAGGGAGGGGAGACACGAAGTTGTAAGATGTTAGAGAGGGTGGTTCCTAGAGGTCATCCTGGCCAGGGGTGATGGGGAGGAGAAGGAGAGGGAAAGAGCTCAGAGACTGTGACCATGACCAGAGGTCTTAACTGGAGCCCTAGCAGGAGAGGACAGAGCAATAACAGGGCAGAAAAAAGGTTGACTAAACAAGGTATCTAGGAAATCCCCAAATGTTTGGAAATGAAAGTGTTGCTGCTTGTAAGAGCTGTCTATTGCTGCATAACAAATTACCCCAAAGCTTAGTGGCTTAAAAACGTTTTTATCCCCCTCTGTTTCTGTGGGACCAAGTTCAGGAGCCGGTAGTGGAATGGTCCTGGCTGAGATTCTCGCATTGTGTTAGCCAGGATTTCAGCCCGGGCAGCCCAGGCTTTAGTTCTAGTTGAATCTCTTCAAGTTTTCCTTTATGATTTCAGACACGCCTTTAGACAGCCTCTGAATTACTGTCTTGTGGGACCACTTGGGAAAGGTGTAAGCAGCATAGCCTCCCTCTGGCATTTTAACAGGCGTTGGAGTCAAGGTCGGGAGGAACCCAGCAGCCTGAGCAGGGAAGCTTCTGGACACAGCACCTAAGTGGCTGCCTACTTAACTGTTCTTAAGAGAGGCCTCTAAGGGAGATTGTGGCCAAACTCTCAAAACCCTGAGATGTCCCACAGTTCACTCTTACCCCTGAGGAAGTTTTTCAATTGATAAAGGAATTAGATTCTTTTTGCATGTGACTGGAATAAAGCTAACCAGGCCATGAGGGGGGGAAAACATCATAATCTCATCACCTTCCTCAGCTCCTCGTGTGCTGGGGAAGTGGAGGCAGAGCCGCCTTCTCAGCCTGCTGGTGTTCTCGGAGTGCACAGCCCTTTCCGAAGGCAGTTGGCCGTCTCCGTGAGAAACCACTAAAACCTCTGACTCGTTTATTTTCCTCTGCTCATCTATGCAGAAAAGGAGCTTTACCAGAAGATACACATCTCAACGTGTTTTTGTTTTGTTTTGTTTTTAATTTATTGCCCACCAGCATGGCTCAGTGGTTGAGCATCATACTATGAACCAGGAGGTCACAGTTCGATTTCTGGTCAGGACACCTGCCTGGGTTTCAGGCTGGATCTCCACTGGGGGCCTGCAGGAGGCAGCCGATCAATGATTCTCTCTCACTGATGTTTCTATCTCTCTTTCCCCTCTCCCTTCTTCTCTGAAATCAATTTTTAAAATGTATCTTTATTATTGAAAGTATTACAGGTGTCCCCTTTCTCCCTCTACGGCCCCCCTCTACACCCCTTCCCCCCGGGTCTTCACCGTGCTATCAACACGTTTGTAATAGCGAAAACTGGGAGCAGCACGAGTTCCTGGTAACAGAGGAATTGCTAATGAAACAATGTCCTTTTGCTCGCAGGACTAATAGCTATTGACGATGATAATTAGGAAAAGCAGTGTGAGGCAGTGCGGAAAAATGAGAGATAAAAGCAGACTATATGACAGTATAACAACTCTGCTTTTGCAACTGTGTAAAACATTTGTGTACTTGTGGGAAATGACCGAGGCTACATAAAAATATGTTAGTACCAAGTGCTACCACGTGGTTTTAAATAATAGGGAGAACAAGATACATGAGTGCCCTGGAGCCCCTGTGAACTTGGAGAGACTGTCACAGTCTGGGCCGGAGAGCAGAGCAGGGCAGTGGGGCTGCCCTAGCCCACCGCACCGATGGGCGGGAGCGCTCCCCGGGGAGGTAAACCTGCCAAACGTTCTGCCGGGCTGGCGCAGACCAGGTGCCCAGTCAGGAGCTGGGTTAGCAGCCGCAGGGCCAGGAGGATGCCCACGTGCTCCATAGGCTGCCCCAGTAACAGCTGGACCATGGCAGCTTGTACCATGACCCCAGGCCCATGGCTCACGCCTGTGAAGCAAAGAGAAAAAGCTGCCTCTGCTGGACCCCAAGGACTGGATGCCCCTGCTTCCCACCTGTCACATCACCCACTTTCAAACCAGTCTCACGCGGGTACATTGATTGGCAGAATCTGGGTCCTGTGCCCATGGGATTGTTTATTAAGAAATCTTTCCTCAAATGGTCCTTCTAATTACAGAGAAGGAAGTTGTAATTTTCTTTTCTTTTTTTTTTTAAACCCCAAGTAACAACTGAGCTAGAGCTACTAGTACATGCAAGAGGGCAAGTGGGGGGGGGGGGGGGAGATTTTTCAATATATGAGCAGATGATTGTTTGCAAAAGTCACGTCTGGGAAAGAAAAGATAGAGGAGAGCCTGAGTGAACATCTCACTCCGCTGGTGAAAATATTAAAGACATTGACCTTGACTGGTGAGTGGCGACCCTGTTCTTTGGCCTTTTAGGGCTTATACTGCTTTCGCTTCATATGCTCTTCCTTCTCTGGCCCTCACCTTGGGGGAGGTGGAGAATGCAGAGACCAGTTTAGGAGATGGAGAGGCATACACTCAGCTTTCCTGACAGTGAAGGGCCTATTGCTTTGGTCAGACAAGCCCAGGTGTCTGACTGGTCCCGCAGGAGCCCTCAGCACTGCTGACCTCGCCTGCTTTGAAATGCTCATATTGACTTAAGGGCTTTCCAGAGCTCGTTCCTCCCTACCCTCCTTCAGGTTCTCCTGAGCGCTTACCGACCTCTGCCTGCTAGCTGAGTGTTTCTGTTCCCTACGGTTCCGTCCTCACCCCCTTCTCACTCTGCTGTCACTGGGAGCCTCCTTTACCTGCCAGCTGTCTCTTCTGAGCCACAAGCCCCTCAACAAGCACAGCCTCACCCCTTAATTGAGCATCGGCTGGGTGCTCGCCATTGGACTAGACACTATAATTTTAGGCTTAATTTACAATGAAATGCACAGTCCCTACATGTGCATTTGACAAATATATTCACCTACAAAACCAACACCCAACTATATTCTTTATCTTTAAAACTCTCATGTTAGCCGAGACCAGTTTGGCTCAATGGATAGAGCGTCGGCTTGGGAACTGAAGGGTCCCGGGTTCGATTCCGGTCAAGGGCATGTACCTTGGTTGCGGGCATATCCCCAGTAGGGGGTGTGCAAGAGGCAGCTGATCGATGACTCTCTCTCATTGATGTTTCTGACTCTCTATCTCTCTCCCTTCCTCTCTGTACAAAATAAATAAAATATATTTTTAAATAAATAAATAAATAAATAAATCTCTCATGGTAGCTCAAGTTGCTGTCCTCACTTGGAAGTTAAGAGAGGTAAAGTAATGTGACCAAGGTCACACATTAATTGGGGAGAGCTAGGATGACAATCCAGATTTAACCTCTTTAGAAGGTGATGATGCTCTGCTTTATTTATTTTTTATTGATTTAGATAAAGGGAGGACAGGGGAGAGAGAAACATCGATTTGTTTCCCACTTATCTATGTGTTCATTGGTTGCTTCTTGTATGTACCCTGATCAGGATCAACCCCACCATCTTGGCGTATCAGGCAATGCTCTAACGAACTGAGATACCCAGCCAGGACTGATGCTCTGCTTTACATGCTGATAATCACCATGTTTAAATCTACTCTTGGCGCTTCTTTAATTCGGTGCTAGAGCTATGGATTCCAACATGGCCTCCATGAGAAGGGAACTTGTTAGCTCATGTAACTGGACAGTCCAGGCATAAGTTTCAGGCACAGCTTGACCAGGGTCCACACGTTACTAGATCCATTTCTTTGCCTGCACCTCTGTACTCTGCTTCCTCTTTTGAGTTCATTATTAGGTACTCATTTCCCTTGCGGTGGTGAGAAGGCTTCATCAGGCCATACATACTCATTCAAATCATGCAAGGAAAGAGAAGGGGAAACAGACACTTAACCTCTGCATTTCCCTGAAATTCTGTTAGTATTGAAAGTTATGATGTCAGTATTTTGTAATAAAGTAAATGACATATAATGTAATGACTTTATACTTCTTTTGAATAATAAAATATTTACTGCTTTTAAGAAGGTCCTATTTGTTCACTTATTTCCCTGAGCATAGATTTTTACTTTGCAAAGACCAAATTTGGCCCTAAAATCTGGAAGGCAGTGTATAAATTTAAGGAAAACACAGGAAAGACCCTCCTCCCTCCCCCCAAAAAAAACAAAAACAAAAACCAACAACATATTGCCAAACTAAAGGAAATATTTATGCAGTAAAATTGTATGATAGATGTGTGTTTTTTTGTTTGTTTCTTTGTTTTTTACTAAATGTGTTGTAATTGGGTCAGATAATTGACCAAAAAGGAAATAATTTCACTGTGCATTATAAAAAGAACAAAAGTAACTTAAAACACTGAGCTGAGGAATTTTCTTTGTGCAAATGGAGGAAGTGTTTGGGGGGATTAGCTGAAACTATGACATGTTAACGGCTGCTCTCCAATGCCTTAGGGAATGGAGGACATCCTTCGCTGCTTCATGAAAGAAGGCAACGCTGAAATGGTCCGCCAGATCGAATTCATCATCAAACAGCTTAATTCAGGTCTGTAATTCATCATCAAACAGCTTAATTCAGGTCTGTTTGATGCAAGAATCTAGAATCTATCTTTTGAATCTTTCACATGTGCCAGAAAGATAAGAGAGGGCTTGTCATATCTTGGAGCTTATTCAAGAGCCCAAGCAAACCCAGAAACAAAAGTTCAAGCAGACAGTGAAGGCCACATTGTCCCCAAATCAACAATCATTTACCACAGTGTAGGCAACAAAACCCTTCTCTGACTGTAAGTTCCCTTTATGTGGGTCTCTCCTAATTCTCCCCCCACCTCCAAAGAGTGGCTTCCCTGAGTCCTCTAATGAAGATCAGATAAATAATGAAGACGGATGCCGATCTTCCTAGCGCCTCTGTAGAAAATGTGATCCTCCTTTCACCTGCACTCATTCACTCCAGGAAAAGTTATGTTGCCATTGAGAGCATGGGAGGATGTGATCTTTCTTTCCAGCTTCCTCCATTACCATGACAACCCACGTCCCATAATGAGCAGAAAGGCTGGTGAGGGATGCCTTGGATGGGACTGGGGTGGTGGGGAAACGTTTAGCGCTTCCTGTGGATTCCTGACTTGTACATGTGCCAGGGGCACCTGGCACTGCCAGCATCTAGAGGCCAAACATGTCACTTATGTCTCTACCTGTCCTTCCTGGACACCCAGCATCCACATCACTGAGAGTCCAAGTGCACAGATCTGCTCAGCACATGAACAAGGTAGAAAAGGAATCTCTCTATCTCTGCTCTGACCCCAAGTCAGCAGTATGGCCGAGGCCAGGCAGAGAGATGCCAGATGCCCTTCCCTGGAAGAAGCCTGCAGGTGGCTCCTCCAGCTCACGGTGCACAGCCCAGCTGCGCGGGGCAGCCCCTGCTCCAGTTAAACCAGAATCCCTGGGGGCCCAGCTGCGAATGGTGTTTAGAGCTTCCAGGTGATTCCAAATGCAGCCAAAGCAGCGAATCCCTGTCTTGGAAACGGGAGGCATCGGAGGGCCTCACTGGGCTCCTGGCGGACAGGAGGCAGCGGGACAGCAGCCAGGAGTCTGAGAGCTCGGCTCACTTCAGGCCGGGGCCCATTTCCACCTGAACCTCTCCCTCCGGTTTTCATGGAGCAAGTATAATCCATCCCAGCATCAGGCGGACAGCAATAGGACTTCATTTTCTGCCTTTGAGCCTCCATTCTGCTGGGTGGACATAAGAAAAAAATTAAGTGAAAGAAAACCTGGCTGAGGTTACTCCCTAACCTTCTGTGGGTAGCAGCCCCAGCTTGGGAAGGTGGCGAATGGCCGGGGAAAGCTGTTCCCTGTCTTCTCCAGGGTCACCACCCTGCTGAGGCTTCCTCCGGGACCAGGGCTCCTCTGCAGCCCAGGGTCCTGCTGGTCGGGACTCCCCTTCGGGGCCGATGTGTTCAATTTACCGACACTCACCACCTCGCTTCCTGGTCAGCCCTCCCACCTCCCTGGCAGCCAAGAAGCAGGGTGGGCCCCTCGCTCTCCATCTCTTTTCCTTCCATAAAACGGGCACTTGGACCAATTTGCCAAAGAATGTGAGCAGGGAGGGGTCAGTGTATGTTTCTGTCCGGGATGTGCTTTGGCAAGAAGTTATCTGGGCAGAGCTGGGCTGTGTAACCTTGTGTGCTCAGGAAAAGCTTGGGAAGTACCTGGTTAACTCAGTAAGTTCCAGCTTAAAGGAAGACTATCTGAAGTATTTCTCTTTTATCTCAAGCACCTGAGTTATTCTGTATCCAAAGGACAATGGCAGGGCCCAGAGATGATTCCCCAGGAGTCCGCTTCTCTGACACAGCATTAGAAAGTCGAACATTTGGAGGGAGGGCCAGACTTATGAGCACAAATACCCTAACAAGTGAACCCCCAGCCACGTAATGGACCTGGGGGGGCGGGGGGGGGGGCTGGAGAACGTCTGACCAGGCGGCCTCCTCCTCTGGGGTGAACGAGCAGCAGAGTGGGAGGCAGCAGCAGTTCACTAGTGTGAGCCCCGTAAAATGGCATTGCCTTGTTCTAGCTGAGTGAACATAAAACCTGTGATTGGGTTTTCATGCTTTCAAGTCCCTCTCAGTCCTCCAGCGCTGTTTTCCCAATAGAGTTTGGAGATCTTCAAGTACAGAGATCCCAGTACATTTTGGAACCTAACCCACAGGCGGGGAGGACTACTCTGGTGAGGCCTCAGGGGTAACCCCGCCCTCAGCTAGGGGAGCAGATACTGGCCGGTCCCTGAAGAGAGGACAGGAAGGACTGACCCGGCCTCACCGCAGGGGCACCTTCTCGGGGAAGGAAAGGTACTGGCAGCTGCTGAGCCACGCCCTGGTAGTTACTGGGGAGCCACAACAGGGAACTGTGTGGGGCAGGGCTCATGCCCCCTCCCCCCAGAGAGGAAAGCGGAGGTCTCTAAGCACTTCAGTTCCCAGGTCTTGGTTGTTCTGAGATAGGATTAGACTGAACCAGCAGGCTCAGGGATGGGACTATGGCTGGACCAGCCTGTGGCCTCATGAAATGTCTGAGCTTCTTTTTTTAAAGGCATTTCCATATTTGAAAAGAAAGGTTTGTCACTGATGAACATCGCAGCACCTCCATTTTGAAAGCCACTTGCTTGCAGGCCCTTTGGGGAAGGTGGACTTCGGTCATGCTGTCCGGGGGCCGGTGGGGAAGAGAGTCAGGTAATTACGCTTCAGTGACAACAGCCTCCTGTCTGCAGAGGAGTGGCTTTTTGACTAAACAGATTCCACGACAACAGCCCGAGAGAGGCATGGAGGCATGCAGGCCCCACAGGTGTGTCCTGCTGCCTGAGGGCCCGCTGCGTCAGGAGGGCCTCGCAGGGCTCAGGGAGGGCCTCACAGGCTCCTGGTGGACCGGAGGCAGGGGGCAGCAGCCAGGAGTCTGAGAGCTCAGCTTCCTTCAGGCCGGGGCTCATTTCCATGGAAACCGGAGGGAGATGTTCAGGTGCAAGTGGGCCTTCTCTTTAGAATGAGGGCTGTTTCGAGGACAGGCTGGGTTGTCCCAAGGTTTCTGCCTGTTCCCTTCTAGGAAATGGCTTGGGGCTTGATTAGTTAGGGTGAGTCTGCCACCAGTCTCTTCAAGAATGACAGCCTTTGATTCCTTCTTTCCTCCTACTTCTTGTTTGACTTCCTTTCCTCTTTCAGGCATTCTTTACTTTCATGTCATCTGTTCAAGAAATGAGTGATAATGAGGAAGGTGCAGAACGGATACAAAGATGAGTACGTCAGGGGCGGTGTACCAGGGACTCACTATCCAGTGCAGTGGGTGAGGAGGATACTCAGACAAGTCAGTAGCCTTCGTCAGTAAACACGGATTGTCCAAAAGTGGTGGTATGACCAGGTTGTAGACAAATGCCGAGTGTGTTCAGGGGAGACACTGTCGACTGCTCAGTGAGGGATGGAGGAAGGCTTCATGGAGGAAGAGTAACAAGTTCTATGGAATGCCTGCTGTGGGCCTGCCCTGGGCCAGGTGCTTTAGTTCTGGTATGTTGAAAGACCCTCCCGACAACCCCAGGAAGTAGGTGGTCTCATACCCATTTTACAGACAAAGAAATAGAGGCTCATTCTTTCTGTGACTCCATTGTGCTACTAACGTATTCCTCCTTTGTAAACTCTTTTAAGATCTAGCAGTGAACCCCGGAGTCTTCAGGAACCCTACCTGCCATGACCACTCCCCCTGGATTAGCCTGTGGTCTCATGAAATGTCTAAGATTCTCTCTTTTTTTTAAAAGCTTTTCCATATTTGAAAAGAAAAGTTTGTCATTGATGAACATTGAAGCACCTCCATTTTGAAAGTCACTTGCTTGCAGGCCCTTTGTGGAAGGTGGAAAAAACATTGGGTTTAAAATTCAGAATCATTTTGAATCTCAACTCTGTGACTTACTGGGAATGTGGCCATAAGTCCCTTATCCTCTCTGTGTCTCCATCTGCTATAAAATGGGGGTAAGAGGCAACAAAATCTTCGTTAGAGGGGCGGAGCTTGAAGATGGCGACCGAACAGTCGGACTTGTTCTGACTCTGGTCCCAGAACAGATAGAAACAGCGTCTGAGTCGCTCAGGGAATGTTGATTGGCAGCTAAGGGGCTTCGGAATTCTCTAGGAAGGTAAGGAAAGGTCCGTTGGACAAGATTTCCTGACCAAGAGGCCAGCACTGCCGCGGCTGCAGCGGCTCTCCCAGCGAGCTCTCGCGGAGAGAAGGCAGCGCCATCTTACCAGGAAAGGAGGAGCATCCCTGAGGCCTGGAAAAACACACAGCGGGGAGGTCCATCAAGCAGCTGAGAAGCCCGAATCGGCACGGGCGCGTGGAATCCAGGGAGTTCTTCGGTCACCCACGGAAAGGTCAGAGTTTGCGGGGACAGCCTAGGGGACCGGGTCCCGCGGCCCAGGCAGCTACGGTAGCCGGGGAGCTCCAACCCCTCCCTCAGGGTAGCCGGGAGCGCGCACTACCGGCCGCCGAGCAGCACCCAAAGAAGGCTGCAGCGACACCTAGTGCTGGGTTTGACGTAATCCTCCCCAGAAGCGGGACTTTTTTAAAACGCCACAGGTCACTGGACAGAGCGTTAAGAAGCTCGGCTGTTTCGCCAAGGGCGGAACATCTGGACACCTTGGTGCCTGATCCCCTTCACCCCCTTGCTTCTGAATACTAGGGAAGGACTGCCCAGTTGGACATATCCGGGGAAATTGCAGGGGGAAATTGCCTTCCTGGAAACAAGGGATCTGTACCAGAAGAGATAGTCTGGGAGCCAGCTGGCACCCTGCCAGCTAGAGCCATAGAGAAAGAAGACCAGAGCAACCAAAAGACTGGGAGGTCAAACCAGTAACACTGACACCTAAGAGCTGAATTACAAACTGCCCCCCCCCTTTTTTTTTTTTTTTTTTTTTTTTTTTCCTTCTCTTTTCTTTTCTTTTATCTTTTAATTAATCAAAAATAAATGGACACAAATAACTAAGATATAGTCTACTTAAAATTAAGGATTACCTTACAAATCTGAGGTGCAGTGGAATGCTGGGAACTGCAAGACTTTTTGGGCCGAGAATCAGGAGTGCCAAATACATTAACAGAGGAAGTGAATGACCACTACTGGACATTTTTATGCTAATTTTACTATTATTTTATTTTCATTTTTACCTCTTCTATTTAATCTTCATTTTTTATATCTTTTACTTAAGAAACGATTTTTTTTCCTTACTTGATTTTACCTTTTTAATTATTACATTTTTCAATCTCTATCATCACTATTACTACTGCTATTTTGCAATTTTTTTTTTTTTTTCCCTCTTCAGTACCATTTTATTTTTTTTCTTTATTTTACCTTGGGAGTAACCTTCATTCTATTTTAATCTCTACTATAGCATCATTCAACCCTATCTCAACTCGACCTTTACACCATCACTCTCTTGCTAAACTTTACCCTTTTAGTCTACGGTTTATCCTATCCCTTTCCGGCTTTAGTTTTTCCTCCATTCTTTCTGTATACCCCCTGCTAAAACTCTCACTATACTTATAGACCTATGTTCCAATCCCTGATCCAAGTGTATAAATACCAATCTCTGCACTATATTAACTAGTTAAAAAAAAAAAAAAAAAAAAAAAAAAAAGAAAGAAAAACTGTTCTCCCCTCTATCCTTTTCGCATTGTTTGTGTGAAGGTTGATTATTGTGAATTTTTAGGCTTGTTAGTGAAATTGTTATGATTATTACTGTGTTGTTATTGTTGCTTTGTATTTTTTTAAAAAAAAAATACTCTGTTTTTGTTTGTATCTTTTACTTCTGTATATCATAGCCTTACTTAATAATAGGGGATATTGTAGTTTGTATTAATCTCCAAGTATTGTTACTGGCATTAGCTGGGTTCAGTGGTTGTTCTATGGCAGTTTTCTCCACATATATATAGTTTGTTTCCCATTTCTCTTTTAGTTTGCTTCTTCTCTCTCTTTCTCTTTCCTCTCCTTTCTTTTTTTCCCTGTTTTCCAACTTTATTTTGTCATTACTTTTTTTCCTCTTTTTATATCTCTTTATCCCTCTTTTTTTATTTTATTTACTTAATTTTTTTTAATTTTAATTTTTACTTTTTAAAATTTTTCTTTATTTTATTTTTACCTTTCTTCCTTCTCTCCTATCCCCTAAGTTGCCTTTCTCTAGTGGTCACCTTTACTAAAGGTTATTAATATTGTAAGTACATTCCTGTTAAGTGCCTCTTGTGTTGTACCAGGTAGTGTTTGTATTTTCAAATTTTAAATCAACGCAGGAGAAGGAACACCACATAACCAGACATCCTGAGAAGAGAGGCCATGGGGAGACAAAAACATAGTCCGCACATGAAAGAAAAGCAGGCATCACCAGAAAAGGAAGTAAACGAGCCCGAGGTAAGCAGCCTACCAGAGCAAGAATTCAGAATAATGATCATAGGCTGGCTAAAAAGAATGGAAGAGAAATTTGACAATAACCAAGAAGAAATGAGGAAGAACCACGAGGAATTGAAGAAGAACCAAGAAGAAATAAAAAATGACATCGCTACCATGAAGAACTCAATAGAAAGCATCAAGAGTAGACTAGAGGAAGCAGAGGACCGCATCAGTGAGCTAGAAGATAAGATGGAAAAAAATACCCAAGTAGAGCAGCTTCTAGAAAAAAAGATTAAAAAGCAGGAGGAGAGCCTACGGGAGCTTTGGGACATTACAAAACAAAATAATATTCGAATAATAGGGGTTCCAGAAGGAAAGGAAACTGAGGTAGACATGGAAAAAGTATTTCAAGAAATAATGACAGAAAACTTTCCTGAAATAGAGAAGAAAAAACCCACACAAATCCAAGATGCTCGCAGAGTCCCAAGCAAAATGAATCCCAGAAGACAGACTCCAAGGCACATTATAATCAAATTGGCAAACAACAATGACAAAGTAAGAATCTTAAAAGCAGCCAGAGAGAGACAGAAAGTTACATACAAAGGAACCCCCATCAGACTAGCAACTGATTTCTCAACAGAAACTTACCAGGCCAGAAGGGAATGGGATGAAATATACAAAGTCATGCAAAGGAAGGGTCTGAATCCAAGAATACTGTACCCAGCAAGGCTATCAATCAAAATTGAAGGGGAAATCAGGAGCTTCACAGACAAAAAAAGACTGAAGGAATTTATCTCCACCAAACCAGTAATGCAAGAAATGCTAAAGGGTCTACTGTAAAAATAAAGAAATAGGAAGTGAAGAAGGAACACGGGTATAGAATAAAAATGGCGTCAAATGTGTACCTATCAATAATAACCTTAAATGTAAATGGATTAAATGCTCCAATCAAAAGACATAGGGTAACAGATTGGATAAGAAAACAAGACCCATACATCTGTTGTCTACAAGAAACCCACCTCAGAAAAAAAGATGCACACAGACTGAGGGTGAAGGGATGGAAAAAAGTTTTCCAGGCAAATGGAAATGAAAAAAAAGCTGGGGTAGCAATACATATATATCTTATAAATTAGATCTTTAAGTGAAAGACATAAAAAGGGGTAAGGAAGGCCATTTTATAATACTAAAGGGAACAAACCAACAAGAAGAAATAACTGTGGTAAACATATATGCACCAATACAGGAGAAACTAAATATATATACAAAAAAACTTCTGGAGGATATTAAGGGAGAGATTGACAGCAATACAATCATAGTAGGGGACTTTAATACCCCACTGTCACCCTTCGACAAATCATCTAAACAAAAAAACAGCAAAGAAATATCGATCCTAAATGACTCACTACATCAGATGGAATTAATTGACATCTTCAGAACACTCCACCCCAAAGCCACAGAATATACATTCTTCTCAAGTGCACATGGGACATTCTCAAAGATAGACCACATTTTGGGTCATAGGCAAAGTCTCTTCAAATTCAAGAAGATAGAAATCATATCAAGTATCTTCTCAGACCATAATGGCATAAAACTGGAAATTAACTACAATAAAAATAATCCAAAGAAATCAAACACATGGAGACTAAACAGCACGCTATTAAACAAGGACTGGGTTACCAGAGAAATCAAGGAAGAAATTAAAAACATCCTGGAAACAAATGACAATGAAAACACAACAATCCAAAATCTATGGGACACAGCAAAAGCAGTCTTGAGAGGGAAGTTCATATCCTTACAAGCCTATTGCAAAAAACTAGAAAAAGGGGTAACAGATGATCTAACTCTACAACTCAAAGAGTTAGAAAAGGAGCAACAAGAAAAGCCCAGTGTAAGCAGAAGGAAGGAAATAACAAAAATCAAAATCTTCGTTAGAATTGAGAGAAATAACATGTGTGGCAGTATCTAGCACAAGGCCTACCAATAATACTCGCTTACTTTCCCCTGAATTCCTCTGAAATTATGTGTTGGCTTTTAATTTTTCTCATGCAACTACTAGTGTGTTCTGGTAAAGAAAAAAAAAAGAAAAGAAAAAAAAAAGGAAAGATGTATTTAAAATCAAACTATGGCTGAAATGGAAGCAGGAGCATGATTGCTTTGATGTGACTTATTCTCACTAGGGTGTTTACAGGTCTTTGCAGAGCCCCAGGATTTTGCTGACCAAGGCGCCCAACTGTGTTGACAGTCACTCATGGATTTTTTTTCTTTGTAGAAGAGTTCCCGGATGGTGGTGTTGAATCTGATGATGATGAAGATGAAGATGATGAAGTAAGTTGGAGGCTCTTGACACCCATAGGAAAGTTGTCAGGCTATTCTGAGTCCCTTCCTTGCCTTGAAGCGTTAGTCCGGAAAAGGAGCTTTTTCTCCCTGCTACATTTCTCACGGTTCTGTAGGTTGGCTGGAGTTCAGCTGCAGGGTTTTCTGCTGGTCTTGCTCGGGGTGGAATGTGACTGCTGCCTTCTGTGTCCAAGCTGGCCACACACACCCCACGCACCCAAGCCCTCTCTCCACAGCCTCTGATCACTCTGGGGTCCAGCCTAAACTTTCTTATCAGTTGGCTGCTGGTCTCCAAGAGGGTAGAAGCCACAGCTTCTGATCCTCTTCTGGGCTCAGCGGTCTCAGAACATCTCTTCTTCGGCCTCTGCTCAGGGTGCATCCCAGGACCAGCCGGGGTGTGGGCTGGCAGTTAGACTCCCCAGCAGGAGGTTCAGGGGGGAACTAGCAGGACCATGTCTGAGGTCTGTCCCCCACATGGCGGATGTGCATCCTGCCACCAGCATGAGGATGCCACACCCGGTGGCACTTGGGGGATTTCTGGGAGGTTGAAAGATAATTCCTCAACAGGAGTGTTTTGCTTTGAAGGGGCCTCCACCTGCCTTAAATGATGGGAACATTGGGCGTGAGGCTCACAGTGAGGATCTGTAGCGTGCAAGTACAGGGTGTGGTTCAAAGCTGGCAGAACTAGCCAGTTTACTTGGTTCTTTTCATTCTTTTGACTCGGGTTTCCTCAGCTGTGAAAAATCTGCTTACATGTTGTTGTAGAGCATGAAGGCTCAGAAGTAATGTGGGTGTGTCTCGTGAAGTGGTACAGAGAACGGTGGCTCATCGGCTGGAGACGGGTTTTCAGATGACATACCTTCTCCCTGTTTTCCCTTCAGACCTAGAAAAAACATACCCGGTGCCCTCCGTAGTTCTCTGTAGCACAAAATGACTCGTGTTCCTCCTGTTTTGTGGGGAGTGTAGGCTGGGAGATGCCTTTTTACCTGGAGTGTTGCGTCTCTCCGTTTAAAAGGTGTGTAAATTTTAGAAAGTGAGAGATGCTTTCGGTTGATGTCATCCGATGGGGAGATAGTTCATTGAAGAGCCCTCAGCAGGGAGGACAGCTGCGCTGAGTGAGACCTACAAGTAGTGGTCCCTCCTCAGGCCATTGTCTTCACCGGCTGCAGGTGGCACCAGTGAGTGCTCTGGCTCAGTTGGCGTGGGGGGCAAGCACAGTCTGGACCTCAGCCCGCATCCAGGCCCTTCCCCCCAAAGGTGGGCCGAGGGGGGAGCCGGCCAGCTGCAGGTCACCAAAGAGGTAATGGCAGTAAAATCTGGTTTAGAATGAGGATCAGCACACTTTTTCTGTAAAGAGGAAGATAGTGAATATTTTAGGCTTTGCAGGCCACAAAGTCTCTGTTTCAACCACTCAAAGTAGCAATCAGCAATACATAATTGGATGGCTGTGGCTGTGGTCCCATTATGTGTCACTAAATTCCCCCCCCCCCAAATATTTAAAAATGTAAGGATCCATCTTAGCCTGCTAACCTTCCAAAAACAGGCCTGGTGGCCTGAGGGCCACCTTTCCTAAGCCAGCTCCCTGGCCCAGGCTCTCAGGACTGTGATAAGACATGGTAAGACCCACCTATGTGCCTGGCCCTTCAATGCTGTTTTAAATTATATTTTGAGTTACTATTTTATTTAATTTCAATAACTTTTTGTCATCGTGTCCCACAGTTCCTTTCAAGATCTGTTTTTCCCTTTCTGTGTTACCCCTTTGGGTGTATATGTGTGTGTATTTTCTGTTTTGTTGCTATTAATTCCTTTATTTTTGTATTGCAAGGGAAAATTCATTTGGTTCAGCTGTTCTAGTGGATGATGGAAATTCAACTTATGGAAATTTCCCTGTGAAAGTAATTATAGTCTACTATAAATGAAGAAATATAGAGATATTTTAATTTTCTGGGCATTTTGCAACATTGCAGGCTTTTATTGAAAGAGAAATGTTTGAAAATACTTGTGATAACTAGAGTTTTCAGATAGTTCCTAGAAGGAATTTTTAAAAATATATATTTTATTGATATCAGAGAGAAAGGGAGAGGGAGAGAGAGAAAAATATCAATGATGAGGGAGAATCATCGATTGGCTGCCTCCTGCACGCTCCCTACTGGGGATCAAGCCTGCAACCTGGGCATGTGCACTTGACTGGAATTGAACCCGGAACCCTTCAGTCCACAGGCCAATGCTCTATCCACTTAGCCAAACCGGCTAGTGCCCTAGAAGAAGCTTTCATGGGAGATGATAAGGAAAGGACCTGGCATTTGGGGCCAAATCACCTCTGGTAAATCTGGTCAGCAGCTCCTGGACTCTCCCTCCCTCGTGATCCTGACCGTTCACTGCAGAGTGTTAGCAAGAGTGACCTGCTCTTCTCAGCTTCCACCGAGGGCAGGTGCTACTTTTAAAATTGCCTTTAAAATTTAGAAAGTGAGAGATGCTTAGACTAAAGGAAATTTTCCAAAAATCATTTGAGCAAGTGGCACAGTTATTGGAATGTGTCTGTCACTCCCAAGGTGACAACTTTGCAGGAGACAGCAAAGTGACTTTCAGAGCCTTAGAGTCAAACGTCATCTTGCTCAGGAATGTAAAATATTCTTTAATGTAATATTTAGACCCAAAACACAGATAGACAGTGGCGCCATTGTTTTCAGTTGGCTGCTTCGTGTCTCGGAAGATACAGCAGCTCTGTTGGACAGGGGTCTTCCCCTCACATTGAGCTGAAATCCTGCACTTACAGCTTCAGCAGGCGTCCTGCTCCACTGGACACACTCAGCAGACCCCCAGGTGCAAAATCTAATGTTTTCTGTCTAATTCATGAAAATGGAACAACTTGTTCCGATTGTTAACACGTACGTAGTAGTTATGACTGATACACTTACAATTCTGTGCCAGAATTTTTAAAAATTTAAAGGTGGATCTAGAAATGTGTTTTGTGCCTTGTAGACTATCCAATATATAATGTCAGATGGAAAAAAAGGAAATTGCAAAGTAATGTGCACAGTGTGATTCTATTTCAGAAAAAAATAAACATATAAAACACACATCCTTCTGAATTATATATGTGCTTATATATGTCCATGTAGCTGAAAGTTGTGGGAGTTCCACCCTCTTTGTTACCCCAGACACTACCTGGGGTGGTAGGGAGGAGAAAGTGTAGGTAAGAGGTGAAGGGAGGCCTGATCAGTGAAAGTGGGAAGTGAGAAGGGCTCGAGGAATCAGTGGATCAGAGGTCATTTGCGGAGCAGACTGATGGCCTAGTTCCTGGCCTTCTGGGAACTTCCTGAAAACTCTAATTATTTGCGGAGCAGACTGATGGGGCAAAGGCCAAACTGAGTAGTTGAGGAGCATGAGCAAGGGAGAGAATGGAGCTGATAAGTACATACAGCTCTTTCCACAGAAGCTTAGATGGGAGACAGACTGATGGGGCAAAGGCCAAACTGAGTGGTTGAGGAGCACGAGGAAGGAAGAGAATGGAGCTGATAAGTACATACAGCTCTTTCCACAGAAGCTTAGATAGGAGATGATAAGGAAAGGACCTGGCATTTGAGGCCAACTCAACTCTGGTGAATCAGGTCAGCAGCTCCTGGACTCTCCCTCCCTAATGATCCTGACCATTCACTGCAGAGTGTTAGCAAGGGTGACCTGCTCTTCTCAGCTCCCACTGAGGGCTGTGAGCAAGAGCAGAGTGGATGGTAGCTAAACAGGGCATTTTTGGTTTGTTTTCATTTGCAGGAGCCCTGAGCATGTTACAGTGTATATTAGAAGAGTCCAGGAGAGAGGGAAGGGAGAGGCTGAACATTGACGGCAGGAGGAGAGAGACATGGCATCAGGGCAAATGTTTCCATTATTTCCTAAGTTGCTTCTTATAAGTTGCTTGGCCCACAAGCTCCAGACCCTTTCTTCAGAGAAATGAAACCCTCATTAGATTAGCTTGGACAGGACACACAAGATCATGGACAGAAGACAAGTACTATTTAAGAGGTCAAGCACATCTCATCTAGTGCTTTGAAGAAATGTATTATTTAATACAATTTATTAGTCTTTAGGTATTGGAAAGCTATCAAGCTCACAGTAGCGATACAAGTGGGGGTTTTTATTATTTTCTCTTGACATTTCAAATTTTATTATTGATAATAGATACCATCCATTGTTCTCCTTGAAGTGGCAGACTCCCCTCATTAGTTTTTGAGGAAATGTCTGCCAAAACCCAAGTCTGACGAACCAGTTTGTCTGTCATTCTTTCAGGCAAAAATAGTGTTCCTTGAAAAAAGTTCCTCATTCAGCTGGCAGCTCGTCTCCTCTGGAAAGCCATCATGTGCATCCCACTGCTACACAGATGGGCCACAAGAGGCGGGATTTAATAACATTAATTCCAGCTGTTTCATCAAGGACACTGCTAAATGAAACTCTGTCTGTCACCTTCCTATCACCTACCTGTCATCTTTATCTGTCACTTGTCTGTCTACTTACCTGGTGGCAGTGGAGAACACAGTGACTGACTACACAGGGTTTGGTAGCATTGTCTAATCGATGCTCACACACTGGTGGTTTTACCTTCATTGCTTTTGCACCATCAGTGCAGACGTCAGGGCAGCTGTTCCAGGATAAAAGGGAAAGTCAATAAAAGTGTTCAATACATTAAGTATTTTAGCCAACACCAGTTGTGTTTTGTTTCCAAGCATTTCCATAAAAGATCTTTGATGAGGACTTACTGTTGACACTGGATGAATGCAAGGCAAATAGCAAGTAAAGGCATAATTCTGCAAATGAGATATTAATTCACCATTTATGTTTGCAGCTTAATCTTTATTCAACAAGCTACTGTTTTATTGGAAAGGAGCATGCTGTAATTCTTTCCCAGCTTCTGGTCCAGCAGGCGTTAGCAACATCAGCTGTACAAGGCCCTGGTCATGTTTCTCCAACCAAGACAGTGCAATAACTTACCCTTCCAG